GTCTATTTTGAAAGAGAGAGAGATAGAGAGTGCTAGGAGAGAGTTGGAGAGAGAGAGGGAGGGTAAGAGAGAGCACGAGGGACAAAGACAGATCATCAGATCCATTAATGAGTTATATTTTTCTATTTGTAGAGCCCTGACGGAGCCAACGCTATAACCATAGGCATGCTGGGAAGCATAGAAAAACCACTAGCAATAGTTGGAGGCAACTGCTCAATCCAAGGTTACAACAAAGACGGGGATGACAATTTTTGGACGGTAAGTAGTTTTCTCTCACCTGCCAGACCAAAAGTCTAGGGTTCAGATCTACATCGAGGTGGACTTTTTTGTTTTAATTTCAAAACATTTTTTTTCTTACCAAATTTGACTTTTCTCTCAGGTCTAAAATGGGTACCTGGTAATGTCATGGGAAGTTAAGACTGCTAGTGGGATGTTGGCCCACATCACTCCTTGAGTTCCAGCTGGTCTGTACAATAATGCCTAGTACTGTATGCCTGGTGAGCCAAAGGCGTGAACAAAAGTACTTTACCTACTTCTAATTTTTATTGTTAAATTTTCTATATTTACAGAATGTGAACAGTCTTCTCTTCTTCTTCACTTCCTCTTTTACTGCTGTGGGTGTCGAGGGAGATATAAGGTTCTGTTTCTAGCTCTTCTGGCCGCCTCGACCATAGGCACATCGTGCTGTTGTAGAGTTTCTCTGATGTTATCCTTCCATCTTGTTCTTGGTCTACTTCGTGCTCTACGTCCTTCTTCTCTTTCCATGTATGCTTTGTATGGTATGGTGTCACAAGGCATTCTCTCTAAGTGGGCAAACCATTTCACTTGCTCCCCCGTGTGGGTTCCGGGGCCCTATTGTAGGGAAAACAAGAATAGACCCACTGCCTCCCCAAAAGCATGTTGTAAGAGTCGACTAACTGGGGAGCTTCCTTTGAAGTCGGAGTGCCTCTGCCTGAGAGGCAAGGAACCAGCAGTCTGCATTCAATTGAATCAGATCTGTAAAACTGATGCACACGCAACACTCAGGTTCTGGAGCAGGACTGCAGTTCAGAAGTGGACGAACAACCAGAACTTTATGCCAGAGTGTACAGCTGGTGAACGCGAAGAAGAAGAAGAAGATTTCACTTGCTGTCTTTGTATGTAATCCAGAATTGTTTTTGTGCCTATTTTTGTCTTATGATCTCATTCCTGATCTTATCTCTTATTGTCACTCCTACAGCCCTTCTGAGACATCTCATTTCCTTGGTTACTAATTTTCTTTTATGGTTTGTTGTGAGTGACCATGTCTGGCACTGGTAGCACAGAGTTGGAATAAATATGCTTTGAATAAGATGTCTCTTTGTGCTGATTGGGATTGTCTTATGCTGTAAGAGGGGGGCTAGCTGTCCCAATACTTCGTTTGCTTTACTGCATCTAATGTTAATTTCTTTATCCAATTTTCCATCTTCGGTAAATGTAGTTCCCAGATATTTAAACTCAGATGCCTGTTTAATGCCTTTGCACTCTATTGCTATGTTTAGATCTGTCTTCTTTTTTCCTATTGACATTACTTCTGTCTTTTCAGTGTTGATTCTCATATTATTTACTAACATTTTACGCTTTCTTCATTCATGGATGTTAGATGTACTGTGAATGTTGTAATTTTCTAAGGCTGTATCTGCTATCAAGGCCTGGTCATCTGCAAAGAGTAATTCGTTGATCTTACTAACTTTTTTTAACTGTTTCATGAAGGCTTGGCATTATTTCTCCATATACTGTCGATGTTCTATCACTGGTCTCAGTCTTGTTTCTATTATCTTGGCATACATTTTACCAACATGGCTTAAAAGAGAGGTGTGAACAGTATTGATTAAAAATTGAATGTTTTAGTATTCTTAGACACATAAATGAAATCCATTGTGATTTACACCAAAATGATTATTTAAACAGTTTTATATTTTTGAGATTAAAATTATCAAAACAATATTTTCCATTATCATTTTGAATAATGTGGGGGAAGAAAACTTAATTCATTCATTGTTTTAGTGTGCCATTTTATCACATAGGGTTGTATCCATTTCTAAATGGTGAATATTAAATTAAGAATCAATATCATAGGACTTGGGACACTCCCATAAATGCTCCGTCCCAATCTTGGGCAGCAGGGAAAAAGTTCCAATTCCGATGGCACCAGTAACTGCCTGATTGTACATCCGCCTCACCTTTCGCTTGAGTTTTGAGCATCAGCCAGATCCCCTGGTAACTCCCTGCAGTGCCATTCTCTTCAGACCATAATGATCTGTTTGTGCCTCTGCACCGTTCACTCACTCCCAAAGGGCTCTCACAACATCTATCTTGTCATAAATCAATTCATAAATCAGTTCACCCCCAAGTGGTGCAGAACCAGTCAGTCTATCTGCCTGCTTGTTCCCCAACACACCAGCATGATGTGGAGAAAATATCCAAAGAGCGCTCGCTATCTACCTGGGACCTCTGAAGCAAAGTCTGTTCCCTCATTACACTATATCCTGTGCAGTCACTATGATATCATGGACAAAATCCAGTTCAGCACCCTTGGCTTCTCTCATTAACATTCACTTTGAGTTTTCTCTTGGACATTCTGTTGGACATATGGGAGTCGCAGCAGCGAAGTGGCTAGACGCTCACCTGTGGATCGGAAGATCGTGGGTTCGCTCCTTGGCGGAGCTGGACTATTTTCAAAAATTGACCTTGCCTCCCAGATCGACCCAGCCTTGAGTGGGTACCGGGTGCAGTCCCATAAGGTAAAGGCGGCCAGCGTGATGCTGACCACATCACCTGTCTTGTGCCGATTGGTCTATAAAATATAGGTCTAGCCCTTTATGCCCTATATGCCTAAAGGCGTGGAAAAGGGTTCTTTAATTTTTTACTTGGACACACACAAACAGTATATTGCACAAAGTCTGCCTAGTTCTCCCCTCAGTGTTGAATATCTTCCAGAAGCTCTACTCACACCCCCTTTCCCTTTCCTCCATTGAATTAGTCTGTCAGTGTATTGCAGCGTAAGGCAATCCCAATCAGCACAAAGAGACATCTCATACAAAGCATATTCAATCCCACCCTATGCTACCAGTACCAGACGTGGTCACTCACAATAAAACATAAAAAAAAATTAGTAACCATGGAAATGAGGCGTCTGAGAAAGGCAGTAGGAGTGATCAGAAGAGATCAAATCAGGAATGAGGTCAGACGAGATAAAGTCGGCACAGAACCAATTCTAAATTACAAAGAAAGACAGCAAATCAAATGGTTTACCCACTTGGAGAGAATGCCTTCTGATGCTATACCATTCAAGGCATATACCAACAGAGAAGAGGGATGCAGAGCAAGAGGTAGACCAAGAACACGATGGCAGAATAACATCAGAGAAACTCTACAGTACCACGACATGTCTTTGGTCAAAGCAGTCGAAAGAGCACGAAGCAGGACTTTATGTCTCCCTCGACACCTGAAGCGGTAAAAGAGGATGTAAAGAAGAAGTGTATGGATTCTCTGTTTGTTCTTCTGTACTGTCCATTCGATCCCATAAAACCCTCACTATATCTGCTTTATCAGTAGCTCACTACCCAGAGAAGCAGCAGCAGCCAATCTGTCTGTCTGCTCACACACAAATTTTCTAATGATCTGTTAGTGAATTATCTGAATGTAATCTAGATTTTGCAAAGTGATAATCAGTGGTGTTTGAGCTAAACTATACCACATAGCTCAGTTCAAGGGGAAAAGTATACAAAGAAGACCAAGAAATACCTGGATCTGGCAAGCCGCAAAAATGAAAACATCAACTCCAGCACATTTGAACACCAAAAATGATCAAACAGTCAGCAGTAGCTTGGTGACCCAGCGACAAACAGAAGCAGTTGCCAAATTTTACATGCCATACAGAAGGCTAAAAGTGGTTTCATAAGGAGGGGCAGAGAGAGAGAGAGAGAGAGAGAGAGAGAGAGAGGGGGGCAGAGAGATTATTTCTACCGCATAAACTGAGCAGATAAAGAAACTCAGATTTTTTAATAACCAGGTGGGTATTGAAACGAATGATTTGACTTCCACTGTAATTTCAACCTTCACATCTTATCCTGTCATGTGCCAGCTTCTAGCATAAAGTAGAGGCGTATGTACTTAACTCTTCGAAGAAAACAACCTGTGCACCCTGGAATTTGTTTTTGGGAAAAATCTTTAAATAAATTGTGTCGCTTATCATCATCATAGTAAAACAGTTCCACCATTAAGTGTCGTGGGAGGAAGCATTTGTGATGCTGGAGGCCTGTATTTGAATATATTAACTAAATATGGTTATTCAGAGGGGTTTCTTTGTAAATCCACTGGGTTTGTTTATGCCAGATTGATTTACAGTTTCCCCATAAACCTCAGTACTTGAGGTCACAGGGTCACGACATGAGTCACAGAAAACATATTTGTTTTAGACCCCTGGAATGCTGTTGCTATGCTGTGAAGGCATAAAGTGTCACTAAAAATGGGTAAAAACATGGGGGGAAATAATGAGTGAAGTAATCACTAAAAATGAAAGGAGTGAAGAACTAAATGATGACAGTCCATTGGGCATCAAAATAAATCATGTGGTGACACACACCGAGACTTTGTGGCCCCAGTTACAAAAGGCTAGAAGAGAATTATGACATCATTGTCATCATCATCATCATGCAGCAGTCCTTTGTAGAATGTCGCTCTTATCACAGTCTGCATACATGTGTGGTGGTTGTAACAAAACTTTTCCCAGTCCTGTTTTTAGTCAATATAATTATACCCTGTTCTCCGAACACTGCGCAGGTGCAAATCGAACCAGTGGCAATCACTAGGGTTGTCAGGGACTGGCCAGTGCAGTGATACTGGTTTAGTAGGTTCTGAGGGATGAGTAGTTGACATTGATGCTGGATTAGATGCTTTATGGGGCCAAAGGGTTAACTTTATGGATGAAGACATGTCTGTTTTAACTGTCATTATTGATCTCTGCTTGTCGCATGCAGGTAACAGGAGACAACGTTCATTCCTTGTGTCTCTTGGATTTCTCCAATAATGGACAGAACGAGGTAAAGTCATGTCATTGTTATCATCAGGTTATCTAGTACAAAGATGAAAAAAAAAAAGACATGTAATGGTAAAAAGGTAGTTCCGTAATACTTACTACTTTTGACATTTGACATATTGAGTTATGTTAAAACAGTTGTTTAGGTTTAAACAATGGATCAACATCATGGCACAAGGGTAGTAACCCATAAGTGCTCCATTATACTTTAACTCAAACCTTAATCCAAAGAATCTCAGCACAGTGCACAAAGTCTGTAGAACCGGTGAGGATTCTGAAACACTTTGGGTAGATTTTAAACTCCAAATTTGTGCCTAGACAGCGCCCTTATGCTACTATTTTCAATTTCTAACTGCCAAGATATTTTTTACATGTGCAGCAATACACACATGCGTCTGATCTTACTACCCAGAGACCATTACTGGAAGTCCACCTTAAAAAATCCCAGCTTTCACCAGGGCTTGAACCCAGGACCTCGAGCACGCGAGACGGACACCATGCCCCAAGACCACTCAGCCCTCTGATATATCCAAAAGTGAAAACAATGTTTTCCCATTATAAATTTAAGTAATGCGGACACAGACAATAGAGTGGAATGTAACTACGCTGTTTGAGAAAAGGTAACTGCGGACATGGCCAGATATCGGCATTTACAGGATGATGTCACAACTGGAAGTGACTAGATTTAGTCTTCTTGAGGCAGCAGGGATAATGATATATACAACTTGGGAGTCATGCTAGTGTTCGGTGGTAAGCTTGCTTGCCTACCAGCAAAATACAAGGATAGATGTACAACTCCACAATGTGGTCAATGCATTTCAGCGAGAAAAGGATTCATTTTGTGCTTCATTTTATTTTGATTTAACTATGTAGTAATGCACCTGACGAGATACAGCAAAATATGCCAGGCATTCAATTGTGCAATGCGTTGTTGGTGTTCGCATTATATAAATATATTAAGTTAAGGGAAGGGACCAAGTTTAAATCGTAAAATTTGACCATTTTGGGTTTACGTACATAATTCACAATTATCCATAGTAGAAAACAGCTGTGCAAACGAGGTTTAAAAAGGAGTATGTTTTAAAACTCTGATTCTGCATTTGCTGAAGCATGTGTAACTTATTTATCGGAGTTTTAGAGCTCATTACATATGCAAAAACTTGAAAAAATTGTTTCTCCACTTGTAGTTGACTTAAAGACTTCATTTACATCATGTCAGTCTGGACATTCCCTTAAGTTCTTCATCCCCATTTGCAGCAGCCAGAGCAGAACTCCAATTCCTATGGTACTAGTTGCAGTTTGATTTTACATCTGTCTCATCTTTTCCTTGAGGATTGAGTCTTCTTGGTTAGACCCCATGGTCACTTCCCGCTACATCATTCTCTTCAGACCATGATGATCTATTTTTGCCTTTGTATTGTTCACTTGCTGCAAAAGGAGCCTGGCAATATCTTGCTTCTTATGCATCTGTTAACCACCATATGATACAGAACCAGCCAGTATGTCTGCCTGTTCATTTCTCAGAAAACATGCATGCCCTGGAGACAATATCCAGAGGATGCTGACTACCCTGGACCTTTAAAGCAATGCTTGCCACTCTGCACAGAGCGTACCTGTCTCCACCTTTCTCAGCATGATCTGTTACAGCCACTACATATGTGTGCAATGACTGCCTCTACCTCCATTCTCAAACTAGATATTGTGGTATCATATATGAGGCAGTAATCACAACAACTGAGCAGGAATTGTTGACGTGTTAGGCCTTCATTCATTTTAGGTCATGGATGGCCATTTCCCTTCTGAGTCAAGTGAAAATATAATTAGAAACAGAAATTTAACTAACTCTGTGACCCTGAGAAGGCTAAATCTAGCCACTTCTGGTTGTGACACGGCCCGTAATTGCTAATGTATCGCCATTTTTACTGTGACCTGTTCTTTAAAACTAGTTAAAGGCTATCTGTTCTCAGTGTGCCTGCATAGGGTTAAGCAGGCCTGAATGGGAATATATTTAAATATAGCATTCAGAGGGGTTTTCTTATAAATTCAGTGGCTTTTTAAAAAAAACCCAGATTGATATATGTTTCCTAATAAACCTCAGTGTTTGAGGTCACAGGTCATGACATGAGCCACCCAATACATATTTGATTTGGACCCCCGGGAATGCATTGTATTTATTTAATGCTTCACTCTGTTGTTGTTTATTAATTACTCCCTTTATATATCTTTGTATATTCTAATAGAAAATTAAAAAAAAAACTTGATAAATTAATTTAAAACAATTTTTTGTTACCTGTGTAAAATATATATTTTTTAAATTATGTTTTTGGAGTTTTTGGCCCATTTTGTCAGCATTCACAGGGTGAAATAGTTAAATGATAGCAGAGGGTATAAGAAAGTCCAGAGAACCCCTATGTGCGAAGAAAAAAGATAGTTTTCGAATATTATTTTTTTAAGTACAAAATATAAACCTTTTTTTTTTTTTTAAATGTATATTTTTATCTTTTATATAGCAAAAGTTCCTTGGCATATAGTTGTAGTCCTGTTTTTAAATGGTTTGGATCTTCATTGAACAAGAAAAAAATACTGACATCCTGAAAGATTGAACATGAAGGAAGATTTGCTAGTAAACAGCATCTTATCATGAAAACTGTAATATTTTGGCACTATCAAGCACTAAAGCAGAATAGGTCAAGCGAAAGCTGCATTTCAGAAAATGAAAAACATCTTGTGCATTAAATTGCTCTCATTTATTGTCAGAAAGAGGGTGCTAAAATGTTACATAGAACCTGTTCTGCTGTATGGCAGCGAATCTTGGAATGTCAGTGAATAAATTAAGAAGAATCTGGAAGCAACAGAGATTTGGTTTCTGAGACAAATGTTAGGAATACCTTGGATGGCTAGAGTAACTAACAATGATTGCTTGAAAGAGGCTAATTAAAGTAGATCTCTCAACAATAAGAAAGAGACAAACACCATTCTTTGGCCACATAATGAGAAAAGAGTCATTGGAGAACATCATGACAACTGGAAATCAGTGGAAAAAGTGGTAGAGGCAGACTGAGAGAGTTGATGCTGGATGGGCTGAAATGATAGCATGGAGGGATATCGTCGAGAGAGTTGTTCCAGGTCACCAGGGATTGGAATGTGTGGAGACCCATAAGCGCCTACGCCACTTGGCAGGGTACATGCTGATGATGATCAAGTACTACAGCAGATTGGAAAGAATAGGAACAGAAGGCATGGTGCAAGGAAAGAGGTACAGGGGCTGACCAGCACGAAGATGGGCACAGGTGCAGGGTGCAAGGAAAGAGGTGCAGGGGCTGACCAGCATGAAGATGGGCACAGGTGCATGGTGCAAGGAAAGAGGTGCAGGGGCTGACCAGCACGAAGATGGGCACAGGTGCATGGTGCAAGGAAAGAGGTGCAGGGGCTGACCAGCACGAAGATGGGCACAGGTGCATGGTGCAAGGAAAGAGGTGCAGGGGCTGACCAGCACGAAGATGGGCACAGGTTATAACTAAAACCTTGGGTAGAACAATGCATGAGGCGAGATGCAGAGTTTCCTCAGGCAGATTGGGAGGAGAGCGACATTCTTCATGTTGACCTGATGCATGATAACGATGACCTTTAACGAGTGACCTTTAATGTATGATGTTGGCCACTTTAACTTTCCACTTTTACTTGTTTATAGTGTTACCACATATGGACGATTGTCTACAGTTTTTGCTGCCTCAGCTACTGAGTTTAGTGCTTGGTGCAGCCCTATGAGCTGTATTTTTTTCTGTGGATTGCCTTTCAGTTTTGCAGCGGTTGGGTTGTGGTATTCAGTATGGCAAGTAGCCAGTTTACGTGTGAGCTAGTGAAATATCTCATATGATAATTCTACGTGTGTATAGTCAACTTATCGTGGCTAACTACTTCCATCAATGACAAACTGCATTTCTGTTGGCGACTGTTGACTTTGGCACCTCTGGCAATTGAAATATGCATTTACTGCATGCATATATTTCTAGATTGTTCAGGGAATTATTGTTTGTTCACCAGCTTTTCAAATGCGACTGAGGGACATTTAATTTGATTTGCACTGGCACAGGAATGGATCAGGTAGAGGGGAAACACGATTGCAGGGATGTTTAAACTTCGGCAAAGACTAAGACTAAGATGATCTTCAATTAGTGTTGTTGTCAGTAAGATGCCGGCCACTTTTACTTTCCACTTGTTTTGAGTTTCAGGGTATCCATGTTAAGCTGTGTCAGTCTGGGAGCCCCTGAACATTTAAAAAAAAATCTCTAATAAAACTCTGGTGCAAGCATGAAATCATGAATATACACTGGTATTCTATGCAGAGATAGGAGACCATATAACCAGCTTCTCATGGGAACAATTAGTAGAAGAACTTTGGAGTGGCTGCTGCATCAGAGCACTGAGCACGCATGGAAATGCCCAATGTGCAGTGACGTCGATTGTGATAACATAACATATACTGGTGATGCAAGCACAAATACATGAATTCACACTGAAACACAGTGGTGCTGTCTTCAAGGTCAAGATAGGAGACATTATTACCAACTTCCCTCAAGAACTTTCTGCCGGAGTATCTTGGGGTGGCTTCTACATCATAAGACCATGCACGTGTGGGTAGGCCCAGGGTGCAGAGTGATCAGTTGGGATAACTTTACACAGCATAACAAAAATCTACCTTGATACAGATTTGAACCCATGACAACGGGGCTGGTAGGCAAGCAAGCTTACCATCGAACAATACCATGACTGCACTAGTTGTGTATATTATTATCTCATCACCTCGAGATGACTAAATCTAGTCACTTCCAGTGTGACACAGTGCTGTAAATGCTGATATATGGTCATGTTTGCAGTGACCTGTTTTCAAAAAGCGTAGTTAAATTCTATTGGTCCTGTATGCTCCTGCAATGTGTTGGTCCTGTATGCTCCTGCAATGTAGTGGTCCTGTATGCTCCTGCAATGTAGTGGTCCTGTATGCTCCTGCAATGTAGTGGTCCTGTATGCTCCTGCAATGTGTTGGTCCTGTATGCTCCTGCAATGTGTTGGTCCTGTATGCTCCTGCAATGTGTTGGTCCTGTATGCTCCTGCAATGTGATGGTCCTGTATGTTCCTGCAATGTGTTGGTCCTGTATGCTCCTGCAATGTAGTGGTCCTGTATGCTCCTGCAATGTAGTGGTCCTGTATGCTCCTGCAATGTGTTGGTCCTGTATGCTCCTGCAATGTGTTGGTCCTGTATGCTCCTGCAATGTAGTGGTCCTGTATGCTCCTGCAATGTGATGGTCCTGTATGTTCCTGCAATGTGGTGGTCCTGTATGCTCCTGCAATGTAGTGGTCCTGTATGCTCCTGCAATGTGGTGGTCCTGTATGCTCCTGCAATGTAGTGGTCCTGTATGCTCCTGCAATGTAGTGGTCCTGTATGCTCCTGCAATGTGTTGGTCCTGTATGCTCCTGCAATGTAGTGGTCCTGTATGCTCCTGCAATGTAGTGGTCCTGTATGCTCCTGCAATGTGTTGGTCCTGTATGCTCCTGCAATGTGTTGGTCCTGTATGCTCCTGCAATGTGTTGGTCCTGTATGCTCCTGCAATGTGTTGGTCCAGTATGCTCCTGCAGGTGGTTGGTCCTGTATGCTCCTGCAATGTGTTGGTCCTGTATGCTCCTGCAATGTGTTGTTCCTGTATGCTCCTGCAATGTGGTGGTCCTGTATGCTCCTGCAATGTGTTGTTCCTGTATGCTCCTGCAATGTGTTGTTCCTGTATGCTCCTGCAATGTGTTGTTCCTGTATGCTCCTGCAATGTGTTGTTCCTGTATGCTCCTGCAATGTGGTGGTCCTGTATGCTCCTGCAATGTGTTGGTCCTGTATGCTCCTGCAATGTGGTGGTCCTGTATGCTCCTGCAATGTGTTGTTCCTGTATGCTCCTGCAATGTGGTGGTCCTGTATGCTCCTGCAATGTGGTGGTCCTGTATGCTCCTGCAATGTGGTGGTCCTGTATGCTCCTGCAATGTGTTGGTCCTGTATGCTCCTGCAATGTGTTGTTCCTGTATGCTCCTGCAATGTGGTGGTCCTGTATGCTCCTGCAATGTAGTGGTCCTGTATGCTCCTGCAATGTAGTGGTCCTGTATGCTCCTGCAATGTGTTGGTCCTGTATGCTCCTGCAATGTGTTTATGAGGCCCTGATATGGATCTTTTTTCCCTCTTTTCTCTGCTCCTGAAATGCCTCGTAGTATCAGGGCAGGAAGAGATCTTTGGAACAGGCCCCTCTGTTCACTTTCATAACACAGGATATGGATATAGTAACTCAAAATAGCATTTGGAAGGGGTTTCTTTATGACCTCATTGGCCTTTCAAAAGCCAAGTTGATGTTGAGTTTTCCCGTAAGCTTCAGTGATAGAGGGCATGGGTTCCTGGCATAAATCACCCAATACTTTTTTTTTTCAGATGATGGGCAATTTATTCTATTTCAAACTTTATTCTGTTCATGTTTAGTTCTTACCCTTTTATATATCTTTATATATTTGGAAGAAAACAATTTAAAATTGTAGATGAATAAATTTAAAAAAAAAACAGGGTGTTATGTACCTCTGTAATATTTTGTTTTTTTAAAAGGATTTTGTTAAGAAATTCCTACTAGTTTTTCTTTTTCTCCTCTTTGCGTTCAGTTTCATATGCTCAGATCAGACCATCAGGTGGGTTGCCTCTTTGAACTTCAACTTGCATGTCAGTAGCAGGTCCTTCATGGTTCCTACTAGTTCTATTTTTTTGTGTTTTTATTTGTTAGCACATACAGGGTGACAAAGTTAAATATTGTTATTTCTGAATCGTTTTTTTTTTTTTGCAGCTGGTTGTTGGCTCGGAGGACTTTGACATTAGAGTGTTTCAGGAGGATGAGATCATCGCAGAGATGACCGAGACAGATGTAAGACTCGTTATGTTTGAGGAAGTCAGTAGCATGTCTTTTGCAGAACCTTGCTCCCATAACATCATCATCATCTTCATGTGCCCTGCAAAGTAGCATAGGCACTCATGCATCTTCATGGATCACGATCTCTGGTTGCCTGGAACAGCTCTCTTGATGATATCCCTCCATGCCATCGTTTCAGTCCATCCAGCATCATCTCTCTTGGTCTGCCTCTACCCTTCTTTCCACTGATCCTTCCAGTTGTCACAATGTTTTCCAATGTCTCTCTTCTCATTATGTTGACAAAGAACAGTGTTTGTCTTTTTCTTATTGTTGTATAAAGAGATCTACCTTCATTAGCTTCTTTCAAGCAATCATTGTTAGTTACTCTGACCGTCCGAGGTATTCCTAACATGTGTCCCTTCCTTGTATAACAAGTGTTTTATAGGAGTCAACTATTTGGAGGTACATCAGCTTGGAAAGTGAGGAACCAACAGTCTGCATACAAATAAGCCAGATCTGTAAAATGGTTGCGCATACAAAATACAAAATCTGGAACAAGACCAAAGTCTGGAATTGGATGAACATTCAGCACTTTTTGCTGGAGTTTACAGCTGGTGAACGCAAGATAGAAGAAAAAAATATTTATATCTGTCAGTTGTGACTTCTTTATGAAGATTGCAACTGTTGATATATTTTAATTTGCAAGTTGTAAAAAAAATTTATAAATGCCGATTATGATCTTTTTTAAAAAAAAATATTCATAATTACAAGCTGTAACTCTTTCTTTTTGTTTAGTGACTATTTTAAAAAAAAATATATAGCTACATATTGTATATCTAATTTTAAATTCTTAATTTAAGGTTGTAACTATTTTTACTTTTCTACATGCAGGTAGCTATAAGTTTTCTTGCATTATAAAGTTATTTTTAAACTTTCTTTATAATTCGTAAACATTGCTTTATTTCTAGTTCCATGTTATAATTATTTTTTATATATTTGTGTTGCATGTTTTAACTATTTCTTTATTTCCTACTTGCAGATTGTCAGTTCCCTGTGCTCATTGTCTGGTGCACAGTTTGGCTATGGTCTGGCTAATGGGAACCCTGGGCGTCTATAACAGATCTTCCCGAAACTGGAGAATCAAAGTGAGCATCAGTCTTTCAATTAATCACCTAGCATTTTACAGAACGTCCCTGTCTTCACGGCATGTCTGAAAGTCTTTCTCCAACCAACTCTCTAGCCGATTCTCTAGCCAATTCTCTAGCAAACTCTAGCCAATTCTCTAGCCGATTCTCTAGTCAATTCTCTAGCCAGTTCTCTAGCCGATTCTCTAGTCAATTCTCTAGCTGATTCTCTAGTAAATTCTGTAGGCAATTCTCCAACAAATTCTCTAGTCAACTCTCTAGCCGATTCTCTAGTCAATTCTCTAGCCAATTCTCTAGCCAATTCTCTAGTCAATTCTCTAGTCAATTCTCTAGCCAATTCTCTAGCCAATTCTCTAGCCAACTCTCTAGCCAACTCTCTAGCCAGTTATCTAGCTAGTTCTCTAGTCAATTCTCTAGCCAATTCTCTAGCGAATTCTCTAGCCAACTCTCTAGCCAATTATCTAGCCAACTCTCTAGCCAATTCTCTAACCAATTCTCTAGCCCTGTGTGCCTTCTCAGCCAATGAATCTTCAGTGTCATGTATCCACTTTTGCAGAGGTTGGTCTCTGCATCATTTTGCCTCCTTCACCATTCTCTCCAGACCACTCTAGTGCTGGACTTGTCCAAAATACACCAGCTTCTGCTAGAGAATGCTATTTATGAGCCAGTTCTCCTTGATGTTCAGGTCATACAAGCCAGTTCTCCTTGATGTTCAGGTCATACAAGCCAGTTCTCCTTAATGTTCAGGTCATACAGGCCAGTTCTCCTTTTGTTAAGGACATACAGGCCAGTTCTCCTCGATGTTCAGATCATACAGGCCAGTTCTCCTTGATGTTCAGATCATACAAGCCAGTTCTCCTTGATGTCCAGGTTATACAAGCCAGTTCTCCTTGATGTTCAGGTCATACAAGCCAGTTCTCCTTGATGTTCAGGTCATACATGCTAGTTCTCCTTGATGTTCAGGTGATACAAGCCAGTTCTCCTTGATGTTCAGGTCATACATGCTAGTTCTCCTTGATGTTCAGGTCATACAAGCCAGTTCTCCTTGATGTTCAGGTCATACATGCTAGTTCTCCTTGATGTTCAGGTCATACAAGCCAGTTCTCCTTGATGTTCAGGTCATACAAGCCAATTCTCCTTGATGTTCAGGTCATACAAGCCAGTTCTCCTTGATGTTCAGGTCACACAAGCCAGTTCTCCTTGATGTTCAGGTCATACAGGCTAGTTCTCCTTGATGTTCAGGTCATACAAGCTAATTCTTGATGTTCAGGTTATACAGGCTAGTTCTCCTTGATGTTCAGGTATTACAAGCTAGTTCTCCCTGATGTTTAGGTCATACAGGCTAGTTCTCCTTGATGTTCAGGTCATACAAGCTAGTTCTCCTTGATGTTCAGGTCATACAGGCCAGTTCTCCTTGATGTTCTGGTCTTACAGGCCTGTTCTCCTTGATGTTCAGGGCATACAGGCCAGTTCTCCTTGATGTTCAGGTCATACATGCCAGTTCTCCCTGATGTTCAGATGATACAAGCCGGTTGTCCTTGATGTTCAGGTCACACAGCTAGTTCTCCTTGATGTTCAGGTCATACAGGCTAGTCCTCCTTGATGTTCAGGTCATACATGCTAGTTCTCCTTGATGTTCAGGTCATACAAGCCAGTTCTTCTTGATGTTCAGGTCATACAGGCCAGTTCTCCTTGTTGTTCAGGTCATACATGCTATTCCTCCTTGATGTTCAGGTTATACAGGCTTGTTCTCCTTGATGTTCATGTCATACAAGCTAATTCCTCTTGATGTTCAGGTTATACAGGCTAGTTCTCCTTGATGTTTAGGTCATACAAGCTAATTCTCCTTGATGTTCAGGTTATACAGGCTAGTTCTCCTTGATGTTCAGGTCATACAAGCTAATTCTCCTTGATGTTCAAGTTATACAGGCTAGTTCTCCTTGATGTTCAGGTCATACTAGCCAGTTCTCTTTGATGTTCAGGTCATACAGGCTAGTTCTCCTTGATGTTCTGGTCATACAAGCCAGTTCTCCTTGATGTTCAGGTCATACAGGCTAGTTCTCCTTGATGTTCAGGTCATACAAGCCAGTTCTCCTTGATGTTCAGGTCATACAGGCTAGTTCTCCTTGATGTTCAGGTCATACAAGCCAGTTCTTCTTGATGATCAGGTCAATGCAAGATGCCATTGTGTTTCTTCTTCTTGGTCCATTGTTTTCTAAAAAAAACTTCCTGTAGCATTTCAGTTCAAAAGCTCTGATCTTCTTCTTCAAAGACTGAGTGAGAGTCTGTGACTCACATTCATAAGTTGCTTCAGTCCTCACAATATTATATATTGAACATTCTTCTTCTAGGAGCTATCTAGGAGCTAGGAGCTTCTAGTTTGGTGATTAGATGCTCGCCTGCCACCCTGAATGACTTGGGTCATATCCATATCACAACTTTTTTTTTAAAATGAGCTAGTTTCCCACATTTACCCAGCCTCACTGCCTCCCCACCAAACAGAATACTCAAGGGAGAGAAAAAGGGGAAAGACAAAGAGATAAATACAAGGATGGCTTGGCTCCAGGAATTTGGCAGGATTGATGATTCTGGTGATCGTGTGGAATGCTGAATCATGACAGTCTACGCTTATCAACAAGGCACATGATAATGATGATAGTCCATAAGCTTCCCCATGTGAAATCCAGGGCCCGGTTGTGGAGAAGAGAGAATAGACGCCATCAGTCATGTCATAAAAACTGCTTATTTGGGGGTTTCCTTTGAAGTCAAAGTATATCTACCTGAGAGGCAAGGAACAGCCAGTTGCACACAAGTAAGCCAGCAAAATAGATGTACACACAAAGACAAAGTCCACATGGATGAACAACCATGACTTTCCACCGGAGCTTGAAGCTGGTGAACAGAGAAGAGGTCTGTGAACCAATGTAATGAATCTATTTGCACTTCTGCAATTCTCATAATTAAAAAATTAATCACTGACCGTTTGGTCATTTCAATACAATTTCCATCCACAGTCAAAGAATCGTGCAGTTGCTATCCATGGATACGATCTGGATAATGATGGTGTTCCCGAGCTCATCACTGGATGGAGTAATGGAAAGGTAGGAATGGCATTCACATGTTGTTTTGTTTAGAAAGAGCATTTGCAAGGATTTAAATAAAAAAAAATTGTGTGTTCTCATTTATAAAATGATTTATTTAGTATAGCTTTAAATTAACTTAAGTTGATTGAGTAGGCTAACTTGAGTTGACTTGAGTTAAGTTGACTTGAGTTTAGTTGACTTAAGTCAAGAACTGACACCAGAGCGCATTTATATAATCGCTCAGTCCCCATCTTCAGCAGCCAGCCTAGAGTTCCGGCTTCTATGGCAGAAGTAGATTGTATATCCCTCTTGCCTTCCTGTGAGTGTTGAATGTCGGCCAGATCCCATGTTCACTTCCCACTGCACCGTGCTGATCTGTTTGTGCTTCCACAGTATTCACTCACTTGTTAGCTTTTAAAAGTGACTTTTTTAAGGTTGGCATTGACAAAATGATGTAGTATCTCATTGTATTCTCTGTAGTGATAATAAATCCATTGCTGGCTTGCTAAGCCTATTGCAGCTTCACTAACCAGTAAGTTACTAATCAACAAATGAACTAATCAACGTGCCAGGTATCCAGCCAACCAGCATACAATCAGCCAACCAGTCGTACAATCAGCCAACCAGTCGAACAGTCAGTCAACCAGTCAGTCTTACAATCAGCCAACCAGTCATACAGTCAGCCAACCAGTCATTCAATCAGCCAGCCAGTCATACAGTCAGCCAACCAGTCATACAGTCAGCTAACCAGTTGTAAGGTCAGCCAACCAGTCGTACAATCAGCCAACCAGTCATACAGTCAGCCAACCAGTCATTCAATCAGCCAGCCAGTCATACAGTCAGCCAACCAGTCATACAGTCAGCTAACCAGTTGACTTAAGGTCAGCCAACCAGTCGTACAACAGACACCCAGTCGATTTAGTCAGCAACTAGCCTAGAGTTCTGGTTCCTGTGGCAAAAGTAGATTGTATATCCATCTTGTCTTTCTGTGAGTGTTGAATGGCGGCCAGATCCCATGTTCACCTCCCACTGCACCGTGCTGATCTGTTTGTGCTTCCACAGTATTCACTCACTTGTTAGCTTTTACAAGTGACTTTATTTAAGGTTGGCATTGACAAAATGATGTAGTATTTCATTGTATTCTCTGTAGCGATCAATTTCTGGCTTGCGAAGCCTGTTGCAACTTCATTAACCAGTCAGCTACTAATCAACAAATGAACTAGCCAACCTGCCAGGTATCCAGCCAAGCAGTCATACAATCAGCCAACCAGTCTTACAAAAAGCCAACCAGTCATACAGTCAGCCACCCAGTCACACAATCAGCCTACCAGTCATACAACCAGCCAACCAACCATCTTGTTGTTTGAATTTGTAGAAATAATAATTCAGACTATGTAAACTATCATCTTTAGGTGGATGCAAGGAATGACAGATCTGGCGAGGTCATCTTCAAGGCAAACTTCAATCATGGGATTGCTGGAATCGTTGAGGTCAGTTCTGTGATGTCAAACTAAGCTGCACACCACCACCTACATCACATTGTCATCTTCACCGTCATTTTTTCATCATCATGTTGTGCCATTTCTACGTTAAATAGGACTCACAGTCTTTAGTCTTTTCCTACCTTCCCTCTGTCGTCTGTAATCTTTTCCATCTTCTTCAACTTCTTCTTTTCTCTGCAGCTGGAATGCCTGGCGGCATCAAGGCAGAGGAGATCCCTGGAATGACCCTTCTGTTAGCTTCATATTAAGTACTTTTCAGTGTTTTTGATATTTCTGTGGTCCATAATCTGCGTGGTTGACCTCTAGACATTTTACCGCTGTATCAGTATAACATTGCTGTCTGTTGTGCTCTGTCTGCTGCCGATCTTGTTACATGGCCAAACCATTTGATTTGCTGTCTACCTATAAAATTCAGTATTGGTTCTGTGCTGACTCTCCTTCTGACACCATTGTTCCTAAGTGGATCTTTCCTCGCTAGCGTAGTATGCAAGCATTTCATTTCTTTCGTGACAATTTTCCTTCTCTTTTTTCTTATCATGGATAAAATGCAGTCAGCACCTTTGACCTTTGTCAAGGTAGGCATTGTATTTTATAAAAACTGCTGGTCGATTTTAGTTAGATGTTGGCGAACTAAGAATTACTGTGTGGTACCACAGAGGTTAGACGCAAGCCTGCCGCTCCATAGGTCTAGGGTTGAAGTCTGCATTTATTCAGAATTGCCTTGGCTCCTATGTTGACCCAGCCTAAAATATGGGCGTGAGGTAATGTCCCAGGAAGTAAAGGTGGCCTGCGTGATCTCTCATAGAGTGCTGATTTTTCAATAAAATATTGGTCTAGCACTATATTCCTGAATAGTTATTTAGAACATAAAACTAACGAATATTTCAGAGACAAAATAAACAAATTTGCAGGACATCAGGAGCCTCTCTCGGCAGTGGTGAAAGGTCACAATCTAGTTTTGTTAAGGCACATGGAGAGACATGATTCAATTGCAAAGACTGTACTTCAAGGAACACTGGAGGGTAGTCGAAGAAGAGAAGGGCAAATAAGAACCTGGAATGACAACAAAAAGAAATGGACCTGACTAAGATATCATACACTTGTCAGTAAGTGGAAGATAGAGAAAGATGGCAGGTTTCATTTTCTTGTGCATCTATCTTTTCAGCTCCATGACTCTAACAAGTCAAGGGTTATGTTATCTTGTGCATAATTATATTCCTGATGTGTCATTGTTTACTTGTGTCTTCATGCTTCTGCTGTAAACTCTCACAGAGAGGAGTTAAATGTAGTTTCCTTTTCCTGTCTTTTGCCAGTGATGTAGCTTGTGTTAACATCATACTGCATTTCTCTAGTGTCTCTTTCACCCTCCACCCATCTCTTTCTTGGATGGCCTCTTGCCTTTTAGCCTATTGTTTTTCTGTAGTACACTCTGGCTGGTGTTGCAGGTCGACCCAGCTTAAAATGGGTACCAGGATGGCTGTCCTGGGGAAGTAAAGATGGCCGGCATAATGCCGACCACATTACCCACCTAGTGCCGATTGGTCTGTAAAAATATGGGGTGCTCTTCCCATATGCCCGATGCGCCTAAAGCGTAAAAGGGATCTTTACTTTACTTTTACTTTACTTTACTTTACTTTACTTTACTTTACTTTACTTTACTTTATGTAGTACACTCTGGCTGATTTTGTTCCATTCTGACCAGATGACCACAGCATTTGATTCTTTGATGTTCTTTGGAATCATTTATTAGTCCTGTACCTACCATTTTTCTTAGTTCTTTGCTGGTGACTACCTGTTCTTATTTTTCCTGCTGTATTTTGTATACATTTACTCTCACATGTGTTGTGGTTTACAGCTTGGCTGCTATATTCAGCGCCTTTTAGCCCAGCACATCCCATTTCAGCCAACTCCTAATTAGTCACATTTTATGACATGCTTCTTTCTTTCTTTCCCACCCCAAAGTGGGGTCCTGAACCCCAATAGAGCAGCGGTTCTCAACTTATGGGTCGCGACTCTTTGGGGGTCGAGCGACACTTTCACAGGGGTCGCCAAAGACCATCGAAAAACACATATTCATTGAAGTTATGAGGTAGCAGTGAAAATAATTGTATGGTTGGGGTCGCCACAACATGAGGAACTGTATTGAAGGATGGCCACAACATGAGGAACTGTACTGAAGGATGGCCACAACATGAGGAACTGTATTGAAGGATGGCCACAACATGAGGAACTGTATTACAAGGTTACAGCATTAGGAAGGTTGAGAACCACTGCCATAAAGCATATACAGTAGAACCTCAAGTGGATACAAGTGTACCTGGATACACCAGGTCATAAGAGAACACGTCGGCACAGAACAGTTCTAAAAAGATGCAAAGTAATATGTAGATAAAATCTGCCCAAAACTTTTAATGCCTATCAGCTGTTAACTTTGCAATATTTGCTTTAGGCTGACTACTCAGTGGACTCTCACACATCTGGAAATCACTTACTGTGTGTGTCAGTCGAAGGTGAAGGTAAGTCAGTTACGTCTGCTAGATATTTTACATCTTTGTCCACTTTAGGATTTTTATTTAAATAAAAAAAAAAAAAAAATTACCAACTAGGACTTTTAAATGGAGCTCACGGCCAAGGTTATGCATAAAAAGATGCATACATTTGATGAACCAAACTAGGCACAGATTTTAGCGCGAGGAAACATTTAAATTACGATACATATTTGTTTACCTGCTGTACATATGGTCTTGGTGTTCTCTGCGGCAAAATGATCAAGCCCTGGGCCTCACACTTTGAAGGTCAGGAGTTTATTTCACGGCTGCATCATTGGATTTAAAAGTGCATATTTTACGGAGACCCCATCGGGATCATTGTCTGTAGCTGCGGTGTATATGCTTTGTGTGATGCTCTCGGCTACCTGTTCTGCATAGAGAGACTGAGTCATATGGGATGGAGATGAAACCTGGTTCAGTGGAGCTGGTCCTCTCAGCTTTAACCCACAGCCTTTAACAAATGGTACTGCGGTAGTCCAGCGTGATACTGACCACATCACCCATCTTGTGCCGTTGGTCTATAAAATAAAGGTCTAGCCCTATATGCCCTATATGCCCTATACGCCTAGAGGCATGGAAAAGAGTCCTTTACTTTACTTTTACTGCGATAATATTTTGACTGACACACTTGCTGGCCCAGTTCAAATTCCCACATTTGGGCAGATTTTTTAAATCTACAGCACCACCCAAGCTTGCCCAGCCTACACTGGGTATTGAGAAATGTTCGACTTAGTAAATGCTTATTTGCAGTAATCTAATGGGGCAAGGCAAGAACACTGATGTGATCATTGATTCTGGTGAAACATGGCAGCTTGCGCTTATCGGCACAGCATGTTATGATGATGCAATCTGTTTGTATCAGTAGAGGTAAGGAAAAGAGTTCTCAAGAGCTTTGTAAAGCCATGACTGATAAATGGAAGTGAATCAAGGATGGTTATCCAGTTCATTCAGTAGCATGTCCCTCGCGGAACCTCGCTGCCATAACAACCCTCTGGAAAAAGCTTCCTAAGAGGATGTCCTAGTCTGATACACCCCATCTGGAGATTTTGGCCTTCCTCTTCCTCTCTTCCCAGGCATATACCCCTCCATTATCCAGTTAATGAAAAACATTATGTGGAAGCGGAAGAGGGATAGTTTTAAAGACGAATGATGAGAACACTATCAAAGATGAACAGAATAATGAAGAAATTCATTAACTCACAAAGAAAACTGATCACCCACATCAGAAGAAGAGACTCCACATTCTTTGATCTTTGATACTGTGTGCATTCCACGTCCATAACCTTATCACTGAGAGGTTGACATGCTGTGAATGTTGAATGCTGAATTAAGAATCATCACAGCGCATGGGACACTCCCATAAGTGCTCCTCCCCATCTTCAGAAGCAAGCAAATAGTTCTAATTCTGATGGTATTAGTAACTGTCTGATTGTATATCCATCTCACCTCTGATTGTATATCCATATCACCTCTGATTGTATATCCATCTCACCTCTGATTGTATATCCATCTCGACTCTGATTGTATATCCATCTCGCCTTTCCCTTGAGTGTTGGGTGTAGGCCATATCCCCTGGTAACTCCTTGCAGCACCATTCTCCTCAGACGGTAATGATCTGTTTGTGCCGCTGCACTGCTCAAATGCTGCCAGATGGCCTTTATATCTATTTTGTCATACGTCAGTTCACCACCAAGTGGTACTGAACCAGCCAGGCTAGCATCTCCAACACACTGGCATGACCTGGAGAAAATATCCAAAAGATGCTAACTGGGACCTCTGAATCGATGCTTGCCACTGCACGAAGCATGTCTGTCTCCATCTTTCTCAACATGCTATATGAATCAGTTACAGTTACTACATGTTTGTTCAGCTGATTCTCAAGCCAGTAGAATGCCTGCATCTCCATTCTCCAACTAGACGGGATATCATATGCCAGGTTTTGCTGCACTAAGCGACAGCCATTCACTTTGGCAATGAACCCCCATGCACCTTGTCTGCCTCTCAACGCAGAGCCATCTGTATAGATAACCACATCACTTAGGCAGGAAATTGTCATGAATCATTTGTTGAACATCTAATTCTGAAGCACCAGCTGGTCAATCCCTGCAGTCATGACCGAAAATGATTAGAACCCTACACAAGTGTGATTCTTGCCTGGACACTCTGACCCACTCCTCTCCTTGTCCAAATTTATCAAGTCTGCACACATGTCCAATTGTGTCTTCAGCCTGCGCCCTCCAAGTCCTCTTTTTCGTCTGTGACCCTAAGCTCTACCTAGGACTTCCTGCAGGAGGCGCTTCTTTTTTGCAGCAATTCTGATATAAGACTGCTTGCAGAACTTTGAACCTATCTGCAATATTAGGCATTAAACCATATAAGAGAGAGGGGAAGATCCAAAGTTTCAAATACTACTGCTAGAGTGCAGTTGCATAACAAACCACATATATCATAGCTGCAGTGAACTCAGTTGTGCAAGAGATGCTTCTTCATATTTGGGATTAGTTCAGCTACCACTTAGATATTTGCCGAGTAGCAGACGGCAGCCATATTGAACATCTATAACTTCCATTGTAAATTTGTAAACTTCAGACCTTCCTCTCTCACTTTTATGTATATTATTAATATATCTTATATATTCAAGGAAATATACATAAATGAAAGTGTATCCTCATTTTGGATAACCCTGTATATCAACAGTATTCTCTAAATGTAATAAGAAAGTAAATGACCCTTTTCATGTCTCTGAAGTATAAGGCATGTAATGCCTGGCTCAAACATTTCTAGACCAGCTGCCAGTTGGTCATTGATGTGGTCAATATCACCATTGTTTTAAGGTCAGGGGCCCACTTGCAGAGGTCAACCATTGACCTACTGCCTCTTTAACAAATTAGCCGTAAAAGGTAACTGATTTAGAGACTGAAATCAGATGTGTTAAGCTGAAGTTCTAAGATATTGCAACCTAGCTATAAACAATGACACAACATGCCAACCATCTTTTTAACCCTTTCAGCTTGGTAATGTTAAAAAAAAAAATTGACCATGGACATTCTTTTAAAAAAAAAAAAATTACCCTTTGAATTTTTTTTACAGAGGTCACTATTACATAAAACAAAAATGGTATATGTATTTTTACACCCCCACCCCATTATTTAAAGATATATAAAGGGAGTAATCAAAAAGCATGAACAAAGTTAAGCATTATATGGATTACCTTCCCTGGGGTCTAAATATATACACATTGGATGACTCATGTCATGACCCCGTAACCTCCATCACTAAGGCTTACTGGGTAATTTGATATCAGCTAGGCTTAGAAAAACCTATTTGATTTGTAGTAAAAAATGCCCTGAATTTTTTTTTTAGTTAATATATTTACATCTTGACCTCACAAACATTTGTGCAGTTGTGAATAGCATTAGCTATACATTTCATAGACAAGGTAGGTAGGTAGGTATTGTACCCCACCAGGACATCACACAAGTGATAAACACCTGGTGACACAAAGTGCCACCATGCGGATGAGGACCACCCATGGAGAGGTCCCAGAAATCTCTTTCAGCCCTTAGGCCATATTGATGGCTAGGCCATATTTATGGCCCGGTTATATTCAGGGCCCCAGGCAGAAGCCAGGGTGGGACTTCAAATAACAAAAAAATTGCATCCCACATGGGTACAATTTTCATTGACAAGTCAGAAAATTGACATTTATGGGGACTTGGTCCCGAACTAGAAGTTTTGGTTTTATGGTGTCTGCTATGTTTAGGATTTCAGGATAATTTTTGTTTGCTTAATTGAAAGTTGTTTCTATCAACGCAATGATTTGTGAATGCAACAGTTAGAGGCTACAGCCCTGCTACAGGAGGTCCTGGATCAGATCTACTGGATTCCAACATTGAACAAGATACAATCAGAGAGCTGAGTCAAAGGAAGCAAGTAAGCTTTTAGAACCTGAGGTAGTATAGGGAAGCATGGTGAAGGACCTGGCTAAGCCTAGTGGTATTGATGATTGTTGGTTATATGGCAGCAAAAGGGAGCAGTGATCGCATCTACACTACAAGAGTCTTTCTCAGGGCTTAGTGACAAGAGGTACCTGGTGGTGAACAATTATTAGCCATGAATATGGTGTAGATAGTCCAGACCATAAATATAACCAAAAATTATTGTCAGCGATCTTTCCTGGGTTCTTTTCTGTTAGTTCACACCCCATCTCAGGGACTCCTACATTTCATGAAAAGTTTCTTCTTCTGCCTTTCTATCCCCCAATGGAGCATAGGCCCTCAACCAGCTCACGCCAAGTCGTTCTATCCTTGACCATTACATGGAGCTCTCCCTATGTCCTCTCCATCTTTCTAACTTCATTCTCCAGCTCTCTTCTCCATGTGTTTTTTTATTGGCCTTCCTTTATTCCTGTGATGTGCCTTTGATTGCGATAAGATAACATAGTGGACACTTATTTGGTGACCTGAAATTGACTAAGTCTCCCATGTCAACTATTCCTAAATCAGATACCAGCAAATATGCTGGGAAGTAAAGGAGGCTGACAGGATGTGAACCGTGGATGATTACCAAATTATAAAACTTATGGCCCTTTTGCCATTATCGCCACCACCACCATAAGTATGTAGCAGGTTCTTTGCAGAACGTCGCTATCGTCATGATCTGCCTGAAAGAAACTCGGTCTCTCGCTAGTTCTCCAGCCTTATGTACTTTCCTGCCCAATGTGTCCTCATATCATTTTCCCATCTTTATGGCGGTCGGTCCCTGTCCCTCTTTCCTGGTACCATGCTTTGTGCTTTTTTTTGATAATTATATTATACGTCACCATGGTAATGAAAACATAAAACTTTTTGGACAGTATTTGAACATCTTTTATATGGTGCTGTCATCAGTTCTCGATATGCCTAGTGGCACATGGGGCTTCAGAGAGGACTTTCCATGCAGTTTTCCATGTCAAAGATGCCGCACTCAGGTCACTTTCCATCGTTCGTCTCCATGTTGTTTTTGGGCACCCCTGTTTTCTCCTTTCCTCTGGTGTCCATGTGAGAGCTGTTTTGGCAGGTATATCAGAATTTATTCTCAAAACGTGGCCAAGCCATTTCCATCTTCTCTTGGTAATCATACTGTCTAAAGTTTCTTGGTTTGTGGCTTGAAGTAGTTTAGTGTTTGAGATTGTATCTGGCCAGAAAATGTTGATAATTGTACGTAGACATGTGTGGTGGAAAGTAAACAGCTTGTGTGCATCTTTTTTGGTGCTACATCCATATTAATATAGACCATCGGCTGATCTAAGAGCCGCTGTGGTGTAGTGGCTACATGCTCGCATGCTGATCAGAAAATGTTGATAATTCTACGTAGACATGTGTGGTGGAAAGTGAACAGCTTGTGTGCATCTTTTTTGGTGCTACATCCATATTAATATAGACCATCGGCTGATCTAAGAGCCGCTGTGGTGTAGTGGCTACATGCTCGCATGCTGTGGTGTAGCGGCTACATGCTCGCATGCTGATCAGAAGGTTATGGCTTCGAGTCCTGACAGAGCAGCAGGACTTTTTTTTCAAAAATGACCTTGGCTCTTAGGTCCACCCAGCCTTGAATGGGCACCAGGTACTGTCCTGGGAAGTAAAAGTGGCCATCATGGTGCTGACCACATTACCCTCCCAGTGCGAATCGGTCTATAAAATATAGGTCTATCCCTATATACCCAATTCGCGTGGAAAAGGGTCCGTTACTTTTATTGGTTGATATCATCAATATCACACCAGCCGCCATTATCTCCAAGAACTTTTCCTGGTCTTCTTTAAAAGGCTGGGTTAACATGGGAGCCCTTGTCAATGATTAAACTCTGCATTGGGAGGTTTGAACCCTCGGCCTCACCGTTTGGGTTCCGGTGCTGCATTTGGGAAAGCAAACAGTAGCCCACTATCCTCTGACAGTCATGTAGGAGGTGAACTAATTAGGTTGGTTTTCTTCAAAGTCATAGTGTATCTACCAGACAGGCAAGCAACCAGCAGTGTATGGACAGATAAGCAAACTCTGTCAAATGGATGTGCACATAAAACCTCAAGGTCTGGATCGAGACCAAAGTCTGAGCGTAGACAAACAACTAGAACTTTTTCAAGTTTATAACACATGAACATGAAGAAGGTTTGAGGTTTAAGGTTTTCAACAATGGATCAACATCATGGCAGACAGGTAGAAAGCTATAAGTGCTCCGTTTTTCTTCTAACTCAAGTCTGAGTCCGAAGAAGCTCAGCACAGTGCACAGGCTCTGTAGAACTGAAAAGGATCCTGAAATACTTTGGGTAGATTTTTATAACTCCAAATTTTGCCAGGGCATTGTCGTTAGGCTACTCTTTTCAATTTACAACTGCTAAGGGATTTTTTACGTGGGCAACAATGCACATGGGCGTCTGATCTCACTACCCAGAGACCGGGGGAAATTACAAGAAGTCCAAGTCCACGTGAAAAGATCCGAGCCCTTTTTGAGACTATAGGGATACTTCGGTTAAAAGTTAGTTAAATATCCTTAACATTACATTGCAGAACCAACCACAGCATTTTTTAGCTGTTGTGGTTTTTCTAGGCAAATTTACGTCCAGTTACTTACTGAACAGTTGGCTTCTTGATACCACTGTCGAAACCAACGCAAGGGATACATCAGTATTCATCCTTAATCTGTTCCAGATGCTTGGAAACATAGCTAACAGGATATTTTTAAAATGAATTTTCCCCACAAGAAATAAAGGGAGAATAATTAATTCGTTGGCATGGGGGTTGTAAACAAAAACAATAATTTAAACACCACTTTTCACTCAAATGTCGGCATCTGTGGCTTAGGCGTTGTGAATGCGCATCATAATATTAGGGTGCCAGGTTCGATACCAGCTGCGGGCCTTGCTTTGATTTCGTCCAGAAAGAAATGGCAAACTACTGGACATAAATTTGCCTAGAAAAAAACCACAAGAGCCAAAAAATCCTGGGGTTGGTTCTGCAATGTCCTATAAAGGATATGCAACTAACTTAACTTTCACTAAAATACTTTAATACAAAAGCACTTACCGTACCGAGAAGCAAACCAAAGACATGACACCATATCCCTGTCTAGACTGATGGACATGGGGATGCAGCCTGTAGCTGCAAGAAATGAACATTTCACTAAGGGGACAAGACGTTTTATTAACCAACACAGAACAAGTGTCATCAGTCGTTTTACACTTGTGGAGCTTTTAAGGAGGAGATCGGAGCACCTATGGATCTGTCCGGAATGCTGTGATGATAATTCTTTCTAATCACTAATCACTAATACAAAAGCGAGTAAATGAAATTTAACCTAACTTTACTATGCTAGGAAGAACCAAGTGCCTACTGGGAGGGTACTGAGAATGGAAAAGGAGATTTTGTTTATTATTTGGAGAGTCATTTCCATTAAACCTTCGGGAATCTGAAATTCTGGAGTTTTTCTTTCTTTTTGCTGTTTCTTTTCCCTACTTGAACCTGGCTGAGACTTACTAAAAATCTGTCCAAAGAAAGTAACCTCTGCCGTCTGCTCAGAATTATTTTCGAAAAGTTACATGTTCTGGTCATTCCAGACAGTGCTGTTATGAATTCCTTGTGCTTTTTTTGGGATGGTACTCCTCTGCAAAGTTTTTTGACATCTATCTACTTGGCAGACTTATCCTTGATTAATGAGAGAGGTAAACAAGGGTAGTTCACAGTGCCGTTACTAATTTCTAACATCTGTGTTGTGTTCTAAACAAAGGTCGTATACCAAGTAAAGGTGTTTGTGTCTTTATATGACGGATACCAAGTTTTACGTATAGCAAAGCGGAAGTATACTGACATACCATTATAGTTTTTTTTTTCATTGGCAAAAGTATTTTATTGGCAGAACTTAGTGCTGGAGCTGAAAAATTATGCTGAGAATTCTAAACTGGCAATGCTTGGAGCATCTTTTGCTATAGATGGCAGTAAATCTGGCCAGAGTATTGCATCATCAGGGAGTGTACCATTTCAAGGTCTCAGGGGGTTGCAGGTTAGTTCATAACTGAATTTATTTTTTGTTTATTGAGAGTTGAACTTGTTAGTGTTTCTTTAGATCTGAATTTATTTATATTTCTTCCCACTGCATTTATTTATGTATATTTATAGTTGTTGTTTATGAATATTGAGAGCTAGCATAAAACATTTTTGTTTGTTTGTTCAAAATATATCATATTTATGTTTGTTCAGAGTTAAATTTATTTGTTTATTGAGAGTTAACTTATTTTCGTTTGTTCAGTTTTGAACATATCTGAATTTATTGAATGCAGAACTTATGTATATTTGTTAAAAACTACACTTATTTATTCAAAATAGAAGATATTCAATATTGAACTCATTAATATTTGTTCACAGTTTAATTATGATTGTCCAGATTTGAACTTATTTATGCATGCTCAGGGCTGAACTATTTCTTAAATTAACTTCATTTTTTCACAAATGAATTGACCTTGATTATGTTGATTCAAAAGTAAACTTTTAAATGTTTTCTCAAGGTAATTTTAACATTTGTATGTTTCTTCAAACTTTCTGATTACCAGTTCTGCTGAATGGTCCCTGATTATCACGCTTTTAAAGTCAAACAATTTCTTAAGGCCTCAAAAATGTGGTTTTACAGAAGAATCCTTTGAATTCCTTGTACAGCCAAAAAGAGCAACCTATATATTTTAAAAAAAGCAAGGCCTCAAAGACATTTATCACAAACATCAGAAAAAGAGTCATCATTTTTTGGGGGGTCATATTATGAGAACAAAGGAACATGTTCTGATCACTAGAAAGATCTGTGAAGAACGAGACAAAGTATGACAGTATGAGAAGATTCTTGACAACCTTTTGTTATGGCATTGGGAGGGGGGGGGGGGGGGGGGGGGGGGGGGTAAGCACATGAACTGATACATGCAGTTGAAAATCACAGATTGGGGAGAAGTATGATTGCCCACGCCATTAGGCAAAGCACTTGATAATGATAAAAGTTGAATGGAACACCCAAATTTTGTTCTCATTACACTGAAATCTGGGATCTCCCAATGGAGCATAGACCATCAGCAAATTCTCACTAGTTCTTCTTCTTTATCTTCATCTCCTTATTCTTCATCAAGCTTCTTCATCATTAGGATTTTATTTTTGTCTCCAACAGAAACAAAAAATGTCCAACCTTATCGAGGATTTGTAAACGTGTCTCTCTCTTGAGAACCCTGTGTTTTACCAGCTGCTCTTCACGTCCACTTACTGTAAATTCAATGGAAAATTCTAGGGATAATCCCCAGAGATTTGCATAAAAATAGATCTTGTAATCTGAATGACACATCTTTGATGATGTTTGAATTCCCCGATTGCAGTGGTGTCATTCATTCATCCTAATAGTTTGTAAACTTTCTTTACATTGTCATGTGAAATGAACCCATGAGCTTTACGGTGTGAGGCAAAGGATTTGACCACTTGACCACAAAGACCCCATTTCAAAAGTTGCTGACCCATGTCTCAGCTACAGCACTTGTGTGATTCTTCTTCTTTTCTCTATTCCTGGAATGCCTTGAAGTGTCATTGTTAAATAGGCCGCTTATTTTTGCACTTCCAGCCTGATGGATCGGCAAGTGGGTTTGATACATCTGGGGGCAGCGGCGGAGATGGACCCAGTTTGGGAGGTCCAGGGGGTCAGATGGGTTTGATGAACCGCTCTGGGCTTGCTGGCCACTCGCTGGGTGGATTGTCGCAGAGTGGAGGTGTGCAGAACTATACACTGGGCCTGGGCAAGACAGACTTGAATAAAAGCAGTATGGGTGTCATACCAGTAAGTATTGTAATATTTTTTTGTACCTTTTTTATTACGTGACTTTTCTGAGAAGAGAGGCAGAGGAAGACCAGCTTAGAAGAAAGTGGGCAGTTTAGCTTTATCTACTTCTTCGCGTTCACCAGCTGTAAACTCCAGCGGAAAGTTCTGGTTGTTCATCCATCTTTGGACTTTAGTCTTGTTCCAGACACAAGTGTTGCATGCACATCCGTTTCACAGATCTAATTTTTTTTGTATGCAGACTGTCCTCTCAAACAGATGCACTCCTTCTTCAAAGGAACACCCTCCCCCCCCCCCCCCCCCCCCCCCCCCCCCCCCAATTAGTTGAATCTTATGAAATGCTTATTGAGTAGGTAATGGGTCTGGTCGTGTTTTCCCTACAATGGGGCATTAAAACCAACACAGGAAGGTTTGGCATTATGACATGGAGAAACACTTGTAATGGAAACAAGTCTTCTCCTTTTCTTCTTCTTCTTCACTACATCCTGCAGTTACTTCTTTGAAATGTTGAGGGGAGATGCAAGGATCTTCTATGTGCTCCTTCCATTCATGTCTGGCACTGCCTCTTTTGACCTGAAGTTCTTGTAGTCTTTTGAGTGTTGCTTACTCACTGACATCTCCTGAATCATCTGCACACCCTGCCTTCGTCCAAATCCATTGCTGGCTCTGTACCTACCATGGTCTTGTCAGCAAGCCAATCTGCTTGTTAATTCACAGTAATAGTGTAGTAGTTGTAGTGATAACTCTAAATTTTGCTCGGGCAGTGCCGTTAGGCTACTCTTTTCGATGTCCAACTGCCAATAGGTTTTTTTCGTGCACAGCAATGCATTCCGGCGTCCAGTCTCACTACCCAGACACTAGGGGGAATTACTAGACGTCCAAGTCCATGCGGAAAAATCCTAGCTCTTACCAGGGATTCAACCCGGAACCTCTAGCACTCGAGGCTGACACCATGCCTCAAGACCATGCAGCCCCCCAGTATTTTGTATATCAAATATAAGTAAATGTGTTAGTATTTTTGTGATATCTACTGAGGTAACTGTTAACTGTACCCTATAACAACTGATGTAACTGTACCCTACAGGCCAACACACAGCTGCAGACTACGCTGTCTGTCAATCCTGGCAACCAGACTGTTCAAGTAAGACTTTTTCTTCTTCTTATTCTTAGAGACATAAATCAAATGTGCACTGTCAGGCAAATAAGGGAGTCGCCATTGTGTCGAGGGCAGCATCCGTGGCCTAGGCGGTGCGAGTCCGACTCTTAATTCTAACGTACCGCGATCGAAACCCACTGCTGGCTGTGTGGAGTTTTATCATGGTATGGGGCGTCACAGGTCGACCCATGGGGCGTCACAAGTCGACCCATGGGGCGTCACAAGTCGACCCATGGGGCGTCACAAGTCGACCCATGGGGCGTCACAAGTCGACCCATGGGGCGTCACAAGTCGACCCATGGGGCGTCACAAGTCGACCCATGGGGCGTCACAAGTCGACCCATGGGGAAACACAAGTCGACCCATGGGGCGTCACAAGTCGACCCATGGGGCGTCACAAGTCGACCCATGGGGAAACACAAGTCGACCCATGGGGCGTCACAAGTCGACCCATGGGGCGTCACAAGTCGACCCATGGGGCGTCACACAAGTCGACCCATGGGGAAACACAAGTCGACCCATGGGGCGTCACAAGTCGACCCATGGGGCGTCACAAGTCGACCCATGGGGCGTCACAAGTCGACCCATGGGGCGTCACAAGTCGACCCATGGGGCGTCACAAGTCGACCCATGGGGAAACACAAGTCGACCCATGGGGCGTCACAAGTCGACCCATGGGGCGTCACAAGTCGACCCATGGGGCGTCACAAGTCGACCCATGGGGCATCACAAGTCGACCCATGGGGAAACACAAGTCGACCCATGGGGCGTCACAAGTCGACCCATGGGGCGTCACAAGTCGACCCATGGGAAACACAAGTCGACCCATGGGGCGTCACAAGTCGACCCATGGGGCGTCACAAGTCGACCCATGGGGCGTCACAAGTCGACCCATGGGGAAACACAAGTCGACCCATGGGGCGTCACAAGTCGACCCATGGGGCGTCACAAGTCGACCCATGGGGCGTCACAAGTCGACCCATGGGGCGTCACAAGTCGACCCATGGGGCGTCACAAGTCGACCCATGGGGAAACACAAGTCGACCCATGGGGCGTCACAAGTCGACCCATGGGGCGTCACAAGTCGACCCATGGGGCGTCACAAGTCGACCCATGGGGCATCACAAGTCGACCCATGGGGGGAAACACAAGTCGACCCATGGGGCGTCACAAGTCGACCCATGGGGCGTCACAAGTCGACCCATGGGGCGTCACAAGTCGACCCATGGGGCGTCACAAGTCGACCCATGGGGGCGTCACAAGTCGACCCATGGGGCGTCACAAGTCGACCCATGGGGCGTCACAAGTCGACCCATGGGGCGTCACAAGTCGACCCATGGGGCGTCACAAGTCGACCCATGGGGCGTCACAAGTCGACCCATGGGGCATCACAAGTCGACCCATGGGGAAACACAAGTCGACCCATGGGGAAACACAAGTCGACCCATGGGGAAACACAAGTCGACCCATGGGGCGTCACAAGTCGACCCATGGGGCGTCACAAGTCGACCCATGGGGAAACACAAGTCGACCCATGGGGCATCACAAGTCGACCCATGGGGCATCACAAGTCGACCCATGGGGAAACACAAGTCGACCCATGGGGAAACACAAGTCGACCCATGGGGAAACACAAGTCGACCCATGGGGAAACACAAGTCGACCCATGGGGAAACACAAGTCGACCCATGGGGAAACACAAGTCGACCCATGGGGAAACACAAGTCGACCCATGGGGAAACACAAGTCGACCCATGGGGAAACACAAGTCGACCCAGCCTAAAATAGGTACCAGGATGGGCTGTCCTGGGAGAACCCGGCGAAATGCTGACCACATTACCCACCTAGTACTGATTGGTCTGTAAGAAAAAGGGTGCTCTTTCCATATGCCCTATGCGCCTAAGGTGTAAAAAGGGATCTTTACTTTACTTACTTTTGGTGTAGAGCGGTGATACCTAACCTGTGAGGAGGAGGGGGGTTGAGTTTTTGGGAATGGGGGGAAGAGGAGAGGGGGGTTGTTGTCAAACAATTTTGAAATTGATGGCATTTATATTTGTAATAATCAGTTATATTTTTTTTGGGGGGGGGGGGGGGGGGGGGGGCAATTATAACTGTCACTGCTGTCTGTTTTATCACCTTTTTAGCGCGGTGTAGACAGGGTGTTTGGGACCTCATGTCTGGCGCTGTCACCATGGACTGCATGTTAGGATGAATTATAAATAAACTAAACTGTCAGTTTTTTTCTAGGTCACCTGGGTGAAATGGTCAACAGCTATATCGTAAAAGGGGACTAATTAAGGATTTAATGAAATCACAGGGGACCCCATTAGCGCAGTCAATAGGAGACTTGCTCTTAAATCCACTGCGACTCACTGCAGTCCACGGCCGGTGTTTGAAACCAGGTGGTTCTTGGGGTTCACCCAGACTCTAGTTAATGGTTACCAGAGTTAACACTCTTAAGTAAATAAAGGAACGTCGCTGTAGCTACGGAGTTGCGTGCCAAGGCTGACACAGGCAGAGTTTCTTATCAGCTGTCCATACTGGTGGCAGAGCACTTATAGTTGATAACCGTGTACAGTGACACTGGTTCACATTTCCTGACTTTACCTTTTTACCTTTTACATGTGGTGGATGAAGGGTGCAGGTATAACATCCTAGCTCCACACCACTATAGGTAATACCAACTGGTCTTTTAAGAATGCAGAACAAGAAGAAGATTGTATCCTTCTGACTGACTAAACCATAGATCTCTTTTAGTGGGGATATAAGTTGTATCCTTCTGACTGACTAAACCATAGATCTCTTTTAGCGGGGATATAAGTTGTGTCCTTTTGACTGACTAAACCATAGATCTCTTTTAGCAGGGATATAAGTTGTGTCCTTTTGACTGACTAAACCATAGATCTCTTTTAGCAGGGATATAAGTTGTGTCCTTCTGACTGACTAAACCATAGATCTCTTTTAGCGGGGATATAAGTTGTATCCTTCTGACTGACTAAATCATAGATCTCTTTTAGCAGGGATAGAAGTTGTATCCTTCTGACTGACTAAACCATAGATCTCTTTTAGCAGGGATATAAGTTGTGTCCTTTTGACTGACTAAACCATAGATCTCTTTTAGCGTGGATATAAGTTGTATCCTGAGTGACTAAACCATAGATCTCTTTCAGCAGGGATATAAGTTGTATCCTTCTGACTGACTAAACCATAGATCTCTTTTAGCAGGGATATAAGTTGTATCCTTCTGACTGACTAAACCATAGATCTCTTTTAGCAGGGATATAAGTTGTATCCTTTTGACTGACTAAACCATAGATCTCTTTTAGCGGGGATATAAGTTGTATCCTTCTGACTGACTAAACCATAGATCTCTTTTAGCGGGAAATAAGTTGTATCCTTCTGAGTGACTAAACCAAAGATCTCTTTTAGCAGGGATATAAGTTGTATCCTTTTGACTGACTAAACCATAGATCTCTTTTAGCGGGGATATAAGTTGTATCCTTCTGACTGACTAAATCATAGATCTCTTTTAGCAGGGATTTAAGTTGTGTCCTTTTGACTGACTAAACCATAGATCTCTTTTAGCGGGATATAAGTTGTATCCTTCTGACTGACTAAATCATAGATCTCTTTTAGCAGGGATATAAGTTGTATCCTTCTGACTGACTAAACCATAGATCTCTTTTAGCGGGGATATAAGTTGTATCCTTCTGAGTGACTAAACCATAGATCTCTTTTAGCGGGAAATAAGTTGTATCCTTCTGACTGACTAAAGCATTAATCTCTTTTAGCGGGGATATAAGTTGTATACTTTTTTCTGACTAAACCATAGATCTCTTTTAGCAGGAATATAAGTTGTATCCTTCTGACTGACTAAACCATAGATCTCTTTAGCGGGAATATAAGTTGTATCCTTCTGACTGACTAAACCATAAATCTCTTTTAGTGGAGATATAAGTTGTATCCTTCTGACTGACTAAACCATAAATCTCTTTTAGTGGAGATATTAGGTTATCTCCTGTGAACTTTTCTGACTAGTTTTATTGCTAAATTGTTTTCATTCTCGAATCTCCACTAAAATATTTCTTCTCTTTGTTGTCTTCTCCAGCCTCATGTTGAACTCTTCATCAGTACTACCAATGGTAAGTAGGGCAGGATGGACTTCACAGGATCCTAAGTAGCAGTGGGAGTCTTAGTAGTGTAGTTGTTAGCATGCTTCGCAATTGGATGTGTGGTAATGTGTTCAGATCCTTATCTAGTCATTGATTTGTAAGGTATTTGATCTGTTTCCTAGATTGACCTGGCTTTTAATGGTTACTAGGAAATACCATAAAGGACCCCTTTTTCCATGCCTTCAGGCTTATTGGGCATATAGGGCTAGTCCTATAATTTATAGAAAGTTCGACACTCAGTGGGTGAGGTGGTCAGCATCATGCCGGCCGCCTTTACTTCCCAGGATGGAATCTGGTACCCACTCAAAGCTAGGTCGACCTGTGAATCAAGGTCAGTTTTGAAGAAAGCCCAAGTCCACCAGAACTCGAACCCACAACCTTCTAATCCGCAGGCAAGTGTCTAGTCTGCTACACCACGACAACTCCCAGGAAATGCCATAGGTAAAAAAAAAAAAAATTATCAAAAAGCACCCCAATGATACTGACTAAACCACTCTTCAAGAGGTATTGGAGAGACAAGGAATGAAAAAAAAAAAAGGAAAGAGAATTGATTTTTAAAAAAAGGCGGCGGGAATGGGAATAGAAGAAGACAGACAAAGCGACCTATGTCTCCACTTTGTGACAGCCCATCTAGTAAGTTGCCAGGCAGCCGTTCAGTGAAAAATAAGAAGTTGCAACAGAAAATAGTATGTGGCCACAAAATGATATTCGGTGGCTTAAAATAGTATGTCATCATCATCATCATAAACCACTTCTACGGTTAAGCGTCGTGGGGAGGAATAATTTGTGATCCAGTGCACGTTGGCTGCCACTGGCTATTGTCATGCCGTGGAGGCGTAGAGTGTCTTTAATTTTGTCAATCCATGTTTTCCGCGGCCGTCCTTTTGCTCTTGTAGCTGATCTTCTGAGATATAGTGCTTATGATGGTATTTGATCATGCAGCATTCTAACAAGATGGCCAAACCACTTAATCTGCTGTTTCTCGATGAATCTAGTACAAGGTGTCGTTCCCACAATTAGCCTGATAGTTTCATTATTCACTCTATCTCGGATGGTTAGGTTGGCTGCTTTTCTCAGGCACCTCATCTCGCAGGTGGTGATTTTGTGTATATGGGATTTAGATAGCATCCATGTTTGGCACTGGTAGCTTAATGTTGGAATGAATATGCTATTAATAATCTGTCTCTTTGCACTCACAGTTATGCTTGGATGTCTTAATAATGGTGACAATTGGTATGTAAGTGCACTTGCTTTCTGGCATCTGGTTTCTATTTCTCTGTCAATAAAATAGTATGTGTTAATGGAAAATATTATGTGGTGACAGTAAATATAATATTTGGTGATGAAAAATAGTACTAATAATGGAAAATAGTATGTGGTGACAGTAAATAGTATGTGGCGACAGTAAATTTATGTGGTGACATTTATTAGTATGTGGCGACAGTTATTTGAATATGGCAACAATAAATAGTATGTGGTAACAGTAAATACTATGTGGAGACAGAAAATAAGGTGTGGTGACAGAAAATAGTGTGTGGGGACAAAGCAACACATGTGGTAATGGAAATTAGTATGCAGTGAAAGGAAAATAATATGTGGTCCTCTAAAATAATATGGAAAATTTTTATCAAAATGACGTTGAAAAATGCAAGGACATACTAAATATATTAATATTTTTTAGCTTTTCAAATAATTACTCCTTCTGTTTGTGTTCATATTTTTGTGTCTCATTCTGTGAATGACCACGTTATCATAGACACATTTTTTAAAAAAACTGCAGATACTATCATCAGAGCGGTGATCATATTTGCAGAAGGCATCTTTGATGGAGAAAGTCATGTTGTGTAAGTACTGCAGAGTTCTTCGTCATCATCATCGTCATTATCATCGTCATCGTCATCATTGTTGTCATCATCATCATTATCATCATCATCGTCATCATCATCATCGTCATCATCATCATCGTCATCATCATCATCATCATTGTCATTGTCATCGTCATCATCATCATCATCGTCATCATCATCATTATCATCATAGTCATCATCATTGTCATCATCATGTCATCATTATCATGTCATCCTCATCATCATCGTCACCATCGTAATCATCATCCTCATCATCATCCTCATCATCATCATCATCATCATTGTCAGTCAGCAGATCTTTTTCAGAATGTCACTCTGATCAAGGTATGCCTGAAAGTCTCTCTCTCTCTCTCTCTCTCTCTCTCTCTCTCTCTCTCTCTCTCTCTCTCTCTCTCTCTCTCTCTCTCTCTCTCTCTCTCTTTTTTTTTCTTTCTCTCTTTTGATTTCTCTCTCTCTCTCTCTCTTTCTCTCTCTTTCTCTCATTGATTAAATACAACTGCTTTGTGAAAGATGGGTGTATAGAAGGGCCGAATGTAAGACCTATTTTGTGACCCCTTTGAAAATAAAGTTTGTCTGTTTGTTCACACACACACACTCTCTCTCTCTCTCTCTCTCTCTCTCTCTCTCTCTCTCTCTCTCTCTCTCTCTCTCTCTCTCTCTCTCTCTCTCTCTCTTTCCATACAGTCCACAGCCTTTTCTCTATCCAACTACATTAAATTATTTACAAAAGGGCTTCAAATGAAGACCCTTACAAGTGTGATATAAATTACGATAAACATGCCATTGTCTTTTAGCCAGTCAGTATTGGTTTGTTAAGGATGTCAAGAGTGTTGAGCACATGACATCACTGCAAAGGGAAACACAGTGACATCAAAATAACCCAATAACCCTGTGGTGGTGGCGGCAGTGGTGGAGGAGGAGGAGAAGAAGAATATCCTTCAGGTAATTGGGTGGCCAGACTGGGCATTAGGGAGACCGACCCAGTTAGGAAAAAAAACCATTTATGTGTCTCTTCATTCTCTGTTCACTTGGAGAGCTATCTTTGCCAAAGTGCATTGAGACATTCTTTGCACATATCTAAATATCTGTGTCTTCTATTGATCCTTTGTCAGTTCTGAACATTTGGTTTTTCTCCCAATTTCTTCAGTTTAAATGCTCATTATCATATTGTTATTTTGAAATAATTCTTTTCCTCACATGGTTATCCAGGCACCCAAATGGACAGACCTTAGGTTCTTCATTGAAAGTTCCTATAATTCCCCCAAAGGATATCCCAGTGGATTTACATATCAAATCATTGATTGGGCAGAGATCAAGGTAAGAATGTTTATGTTTGTTTGGAGATATTTTTTTTTTCAGAAGAATGCTCACAAATTCCAAAAACAATTACCCAGATATTCTCAAAGAGGCAAGGGCCAGAGACCATCAGAAGAAGACAAGTCATCAATTTTGTTAGGGCCACATTGTGAGAAGAGGGTTGCTGAAACAAATTGTAATGACTAGAAAAATGTATGACAAGAAAGATAGAGGAAAACAACATGAGAAGATTCTTGAATGTCTTTTGTCATGGCATTAAGGGTTGTCAGCAGATGAAGTGATAATTCTGTTAAAGATTTAGAGGCATGGCCACCCATGCCAGGCAGCAAAATACTTGATAGTGATGATGTTTGTTTATCATTTTTGAAATTGTTAGTCTGTAACTTTGGCATTGCAGACACGCTTCAAGGTGCTGGTATGGATCCTAGCTGCAGGCAGTTTTCAGCAGACCACCTTATGTTCATTTCGACAGTTGTATTATGAGCCATCTATTCAGAAAGCAGTGGTAAACCACTGAAAGTAGACTTGCCTAGTGAAATCACAGACAACCAAAAGAAAATTTCTTTCCCTGGTTCTGCAACATCCTGTAAAGCTAGACTACTCAGCTGGCGGCCAGCGTAGTGTTCTTGTTTGGTGACACCCCTTTTAAATTGCTGTTCTTGCAGTCTGACCATGGGTGCAGATTCACAGTTCTCAGTTGGTTCATCCTAACATCCTAACTCTCTTAGAGCATTTAGTATATCAGCCTGGTCAATGGCTTGTCCGACTTTCACAGTAGCCTTATCTGTAAGTCTGTCAACTTGCTCATTTCCTTGTACCCCCATATGTCCTGGCACGAAAATGAAACTAATCCTTGTCAATCGTAAATTTTGTAGAGCCACCAGCCACTGCCTTCGGACCCAACCCTTCTCTGTCTTCCTGAGCATACTCATCGAGTCACTGAGAAAACATGCCCCAGTTAAAGTTTGTGTCTCTAGCCATTTTACTGCTTTAGTCACAGCCATGACCTCCATAGTCAGACTACTTGTAGTTATGGTAAAAGCTCCAGAATCTTCCTTCACCACTCTCCCTCCAACCTGAGCCATGAAAGCCCACAAGCTTCTAACACAGCGGATTACAGAGCCATCTGTGTAAATGATAGCATCACCCTCTAGAGCCTTCTCGAAGATCAAGGCTTGAACCTACTTCCACAGCAGCCGGACTCTGTTTTTCTGTCTAGTTGGATGCAAACAGAAAAAGATGTATAGCACTCTGAAGGCACGTTGCACCCTCAAGTGAACATACCTGACTTGGCCTTGCTAGTCAACTGTTGCCATCGCCATTGGCTAGTATTTCTATGCCGCCATACTGCACAAGTCAATAGAAGTGTCTGGAAAGACAGAAAGATGCCAAAGAACAAGATTATAGAAAATTAAACACAATTTTTGACATAATAATTTGGTTTCTCACATTCAAGTCTATCAGTTGAGTGCTAAATGCTTGCTTTTTCCCTTAGCAGAGGCGGTGAGAAAGATAAGTAGCTTCTTCTACTTATATGCAGCTCTTTTGACTTTTATTTTATTCACTGTTCATACTTCAAAAGCTGTAAGTTGTTCCTTTCCAGTTTAAAGTTCCACAAAAGCTTTAGTTTGTTTCTCCTCAGCTCACAGTTCCATGTTTTTGAGTTAACTCGCCAGCTGCCACGATTTTCACTGTACACCCAGATCAGCAATGACCTTCCAGACCCAAAGGGCTGCGTGCATTTTAATCCTAATGAGAGGCCACAGAGGGTGTGTATTTTTGTTCTGTGCTAGATTCTAGCTTTTCACATGCAGCCTTGCAGCTACAGCATCCATGTAGTAGGTGGTGGTGGTGGCGGCGGCAGCGTAGTCATCATTGCTGTTGGCCTAGTAGTAGTAGTAGTGGTAGTAGTAATAGTAATAGTAGTAATAATAATAATAGTAGTAGTAGTAGTGGTAGTATTAGTTAAGTATAGTAGTGGTAGTACCAGTCGTAGTAGTTATCACTGTCGTCGTCGTCGTAGTAGTGGTAGTAGTAGTAGTAATAGCAGTAGTAGTAGTAGTAGTAGTATTATAGTGGTGGTAGTAGTGGGAGTAGTTGTAGTAGTAGTAGTCATCATAGTCATCTTGGTAGTGCTAGTAGTAATAGTGGTGGTAGTAGTAGTAGTAGTAATAGTAGTAGTAGTAGTAGTATTATTATGTAGTGGTAGTACCAGTCGTAGTAGTTGTCACTGTTGTCGTCATCATAGTAGTAGTAGTAGTAGTTCAGCAGCAGCAGCAGTAGTAGTAGTACTAGTAGTAGTAGTAGTAGCAGCAGCAGTAGTAGTAGTAGTAGTAGTTGCAGTCGTAGTAGTCATCATCGTAGTGGTAGTAACAGCAGCAGCAGCAGCAGCAGTAGAAGGAGGCTTCTAATTGAATCTTAAAAAATGGGATAGAGATTAAAATAATGATGCTGTTGTCATTTAACCTGTCAGTATTGTTGTTAAGAATCTCAAGAGTGTCCTGATGACAGTTTAAAAATGGCAACCTCACTTTTGACACTTTTAAACCCTTATTTCATATACATGTGGCTGCGTAATCAGTTGTGCCTTGTTCTGTTGCACAGGATAATGATCTGGTCTGCCTATAATAAGACAGTCATCTTGTTTTAGGGTTGGTGATTTTCTGATTGATTTGATGATGACATATTTCTGTACCAAGCTAGACTTTACAGATAATCACAGCTGCAACATCATGCAAAGCAGTTGACCCTACAATTGCTCCATTTGTATGCAAGTGAAAACTGCGCACAATCCCCATCACTGTCCGTTGTGACATGTCTGACACAGACTGCAGCCACACCTAATTCAATAGCATATTCATTCATTCAGTAGCATGTCCCTCGCGGAACCTCGCTGCCATAACAACCCTCCGGAAAACCTTCCTATCATGAGCAAGATGTCCTGCGTCTGATACACCCATCTGGAGATCATCTGCCACATCCTGCACCCATCTTCTCCTTGGCCTTCCTCTTCCTCTCTTCCCAGGCATATACCCCTCCATTATTGTTCTCTCTAGACCTCCATGACGTTTCAAGTGACCAAAATATTTCAATTTTCTTTGTTTTATTGTCTTTACTAGCCAACCCTCTTCAATATTCAGCTCTTGAAGTATGGATGCATTTGTTCTTTTCTTTACCCAAGATATTCTTAGAACCTGTCTGTAACATTTATATTCAAATGCATTTATGCGCTGTTCCGCTTGTTTAGTAAGTGTCCAGGTCTCACAGGCGTATGTTGCAATGGGAAAGATGCATGCTCTTAAAAATCTGACCTTTGTAATTCTATCTGTACAATTCCATAATTTATTCAGTTGTTTTAGTCTTTGAAGAGCAATTGATAGTCGCCGTTTAATTTCTTTCATTGTGTCACCATTGTTGGTAACCAGTGACCCAAGATATTCGAAAGTTTCCACCACTTCCAATCTTTCCTCATTAACATATATTTCCTTCTCCATGGCAGTTTTGTTTGTATGCATTATCTTTGTTTTTGCTGTGTTAAGAAATAAGTTATGATTTTCACTATTTCTTTGGAGTGAGGTTAATAAGTTTTCTAAACCATTTTGTGATGTTGATAGTAATACTGTATCATCAGCATAACGAATTTCTGGTATTTCATGACCACCGATGTTTAGGGCATCATATTGTTCCTTGTTTATATCATCTCTTACATTTCTCATTATATTTTCGGCGTACAGGTTGAACAAATACGGTGACAGCACACATCCCTGACGGACTCCTTGCTTGATGCCAAACCAGTCTGATGTCTCTCCATCTATTCTGACTCAATAGCATATGGACACATTAATTGTATAAGACAGCTATCAAAAGTGGCTTCACTAACAATCCAGCACTGCAAAAGCAGTTAATCATAGATGGAAGCAGCATTTAGAGGAATTAAGTAGTTGCACATGCACTTAATTGCACAAGGCACCACCAGTTCTGAAGCAACAGGCCACTTGCCATTTCCTGAATCTGCAGTTTGCAGAACAAATCATGCTGGCACAGCTGAAAAGCATTCCTAATTAATTCTGCTCGCTGGGTTGTACTTGCACTCAACTCAGTAGATGGGCAATAGAACTAAATACTTGCTGCCCATATATGAGGGAAATATAACTGCTAACCAAAGCCAGAAGCAAATAACTTGCTGCGACTAAAAACAGTCAGCCTGCCCATTTGCCATATTTGAAAAGAAGCTTTGGACTTTGCATTGATTTCTCATGCCCTTTACTGCTTTTGCATTGATTTCTCACGCCTTTTACTGCTCTGATTTTATCTTTGTAGATGGTAATGTGGGTCAACCAGAACTTCCTTCTCCAGGATGACATAGTTAGTGACGGAGATCTCAAAGTCACATTCATGTCTTTAAGAACCCAAAAAACCTTGAGACTACGCATGTCCGTGCAAGGCCAGGTGGCCATCCATACGGATGACATGGAGCTCGCTGGGGATATCATCCAGTCGCTGGCACAGTTCCTGAACATTGATGATCTCCTGACTGTTGCTGATTTCCCAGACGAGCTAGAAAATCTGCGGCAGATTTTAGTCAAGGTGAGATGTTTGATAAATGGTTTTACAGGTTTACGATGATAGCTTTATAGGTTTCTGTTTGTAAAGAGTTTAATAAGTTTTGTTGAGAAACATTTGTATAGATTTCCTTTGACAGTTGTATAGGTTTTTGCTGATAAACAATTGTATAGGTTTCTGTTGATAAATAGTTGTATAGGTTTTTGTTGATGAACACTTGTATAGGTTTCTGTTGGTTGTATAGGTTTCTGTTGAAACAATTGTATAGGTTTCTATTGGTAAAAGGTTGTATAGGTTTCTGTCGAGGAACACTTGTATAGGTTTCTGTTGGTAAAAAGTTGAATATGCTTCTGTCGAGGAACACTTGTATAGGTTTCTTTTGACAAAGTTATATTTGTTTCTGTTGATAAACAGTTGTATAGGATTATGTTGACAAGCAGTTGTAAAGATTTATGTTTGTTAACAGTTCTATAATCAACTTAACTATTTAAGGCCCGAGCAATGGTGTGAGCGTTGATTGAAAAGTTCCGTTTTGCCCAAAAATCGCTGTTATCGTCGATCGTTTGTCTCATACATATTGCTTCGCACACCGCTCCATACTTGTTTCTAATGTTGGTAACTTTGATTAAAGTGTTCAGGAAAAGTCACTCTAAACGATTTCCTTTTAGCAACATCCGTATCTAAAGCCACACGTGCGTAGATATAATCTGATTTATAGCTACATTTTTTTCAACAGTGCATTTTCTAAGTTCATTTTTCGAGTGCCATGAATATCAATGTTTCAACCACAAGTACGGGTCACAGAATGCGTCTTTCTGTGGCCGAAGCTCTGAAATTGTTTCAGTCAGATGTTTTTAATTCTGATAATGAAAATTTAGATTTTTCGGAAAGTGATTCGGACGGTGAATTTTCACCAGCAAAGCTTATCGATCAGTTGTTCGGAAGCTAGCGATTCTGATGAGTTTATTACACAGACAATGTCCCATTGCTACTGTATTTATGGTGTAAGAAAAAGAAAGTGCTCTAAACAAAGAGATTGTACCATACTATGGCTAAGCTACATTGAAATCATCGCAGCTACAGTCTGTATATAACTGTACAAAGTAATAGCAAATAGTGTGAGTGTAATGGCTAATTTTTCTGCCATTTTTTTCTCTGACATTTTTTTTCTCAGAGAACTAAGAGCCCCTGAGTGCTAAGCTAACCCAGAAACTTATCATAACTTTAGAATTTGTTAGGAAATTGAACAAACTTTGAAGTTTTGTTCTCAAATTTGGATGTTCACTATTCTTGTGGCTGCAAAATCATGTTAATTGAAGATTTTGTTTGTAAAATGTTGTTGTTTTTAAATTAACACCTGCTGAATTTTTCTTTCCTACTAACTATAAACAAATTAAACATACACTTATCATCAGATTCAAAATGTAAATTCATTTCTCTTTGAAAAGATATATACTTTTACAGGGCTTAGAAGTAAATTACATTCTCTATTGCTTTTCTTGTACACCCATCCCTCTGCCATTTTTGTAAAGAGAAATTAATGTGGGCCAAGTCTGTCAAAATTCATGGGCCTGAAAGAGTGAATTAGTCTCTAGACACTCTCGAGAGCATTAACTTGTTACTTTTTGTCTGTATCAACATTCCAGCACATCATCGGTCAGACCCATTCATGCTCCATCTTCTGATGCAGAAGCCATCTCAGTGTCTCCATCCTCAGCGTACCCAGTAAGAGATGATTGGCATATCTTCTTTCTTCACCCCTCAACCAGTTTCTGCGTGCTTATCCTCATTAATACCCTTTTCTAACAGGCATGAACTCACAGCAATAAACTCCTAAAGATTTCCAAATAATCTGCACCAGGGAACTAAAGGAGAGAGTCTGATTTTCAACTCACTGCCTTTGGAGCACAAGTCAATTGGCTTAACTAGTTTAGACAGAGACTGCATAAGCTATAAGTTTCTGACTTGCCTATTTGGCTCACATGGTCTGAGACATCTTTTTTTGGCATTCCTGGTCTAAGATATGCCTGTTTGGCTTACATGGTCTAAGACATGGCTGTTTGGCTTACTTGATCTGTATCTCTGAAACACAAATTTGTAATCTTCTTATGGTCTGTGCCACATGGCATTGGTAATTATGTCTATCCACAGCCTTGTGTCTCATGTACTTTCATGCCAGATAGTTTTTACTCAAGTTTCCTGCTTCTCATGAAGTGCCCAAAGAATATTGATTGTCTCTTTCTGATGTTCGTATTCATTTCTCTTCACGAGTTGATTTCTTTCAAGACATCTTCATTACTCTTTCTATTTGTCCATAATGTTTTCTTCATTCATTATTTGTTATATTTTTTTCCAATCTTCCTCTCTACCTATGTGTTTTTTCAACCTTTTCATTTGCTTACTAGTTACTCCTATATCTTTTCTTTTCTTTTTTTTTTTAAAAGTGCAAACCCTTTAACTTCGGGAATTGTTCATTGAAAGGAACTGTTAGTTTAATTTCTAATCTAAATATTCATGTTGTCCATCTTGCATCATTCAAGAGGTTAATCCTGTATATTTGAATGCAACATTTCTTTTTACCCAATCCCACATGCTTAGATATATTTTTTGCAAGGAAAATTATGTTCATTTTCTTTTTTCAGTGTTTATACTGTGCATCTAATGTCAACATATCATTGTCTGTCTTGTATCCGTCCCACAGGTCGATGACCTGCATCGTGTCAGGACCAAGTTGACCGCCGAGATGGCTGATCATTCCAACCTTATCCGTGGCATGGTAGTTCGAGCTGAAGATGCCAGAATCATGGGAGATATGTAAGTTTACACTGTCTTCCTTACTCCAGGGAAAGTTTCTTTATTGTTTACTTTTGGCTTTTTCTGTCTGTGTATTTTAAACTTTATGAAGAAAGGAGGTTTTTACACTCTTAGTTTGGATATTTTTTACCTGTAATTCGAATATTTCAGCTTACTAAATGTAATTTTCATTGTTGGAGAGGTTCGATGGATAAATATTTTGAGTTTCCTCGTGATATTTTTTGGGGGAACTGGCTTCAGAATGGGAACTCTTCATTGGCTATGGAGAAAGAGGATAGAGTGATGTTTGAATTCCCCGATTGCAGCGGTGTCCCTAATTTGATTAATTGATTGATTGATTCATTCATTCACTCATTCAATCATTCATTCATCTTAATAGTTTGTAAACTTTCTTTATATTGTTATGTTCTGTGAAAAACTTAAATCTCTTGTTTGTTATTTAAGGAAAAGCATGCGGAAGGGTTATATAGAACTATATGACCTTAACCGGGACCTGATAGCTGGGTACAACATCCGCTGCAACAACCATCAGGAGTTGGTGGCGTGCTTGAAGCAGGTCAACCAGATAATACAGAAGGCTGGTCGTGTCAGAGGTAAGGGTATTAGTGGGCAGATTTAGTCAGACTGTAGAGTGTTCCTATACTCTAGAGAGTTGGTGGAGTGCTTGAAGTAGGTCCACCAGATCATACAGAAGGCTGGTCGTGTCAGAGGTAAGGGTATTAGTGGGCAGATTAAGTCAGATTGTAGAGTGTTCCTATACTCTAGAGAGTTGGTGGAGTGCTTGAAGTAGGTCCACCAGATCATACAGAAGGCTGGTCGTGTCAGAGGTAAGGGTATTAGTGGGCAGATTTAGTCAGACTGTAGAGTGTTCCTATACACCAGGGCACAAGTGGAGAGTAAGTAAGATATAGTGTACCTATATCTCAGTGGTTGATATCTGTGGCATAGGTGTTACTAATGTTCTTCGTAATGCCAGGCTGCCAGGTTCGATCCCAGCTGCTGGCCCTGTGCTTTTCTTTGGTTTTGACAGTGGTATCGAGAAGCTGACCGTCCAGAAAGCAGTGGCAAACTACTGGAGGTAAAGTTGCCTAGAAAAACCACAACAGCCTAAAAATGCTGGGGTTGATTCTGCAAAGTCCTGTAAAGGATACAAACTTTTTACATCTCAGGGTCAGAATGGAGAGACTAAGGAAGATATATAGTGTCTCTATACTCCTGGGTAAATGTGAAAATAATAAGACTAAATTTTCCCTGCATCTCAGGGTAGAAGTGGAAAGAAAACTGGGACTGAAGTGTCCCTACACAGGGTAGAAGTGGAAAGAATAGGACTGTAAAGTATTCTTTCATCCCAGGGAAAAAGTGGAAAGAATAGGACTGTATAGTATTCTTTCATCCCAGGGAAAAATTGGAAAGAATTACTAAGACTACAAGATGCTGCTAGTGGATCTGCTTTAAACAATCGAAACGAAGAACACATGACACCCTAGACTATAGGTGTGTCCCAGGAAAGCTCCTTCAAAATCACCAAGCCGATGAAATGGGGTGACTTTTGTGATTAGTACCAATGTCCCTGCAGCCTGGGGTAGAAGGGGAAAGACTGTAGACTGTGAGACTATAAAATATTTCTAACCCCAGGATAGAATAGAAATGGATAAACAAAATCCGAAAAGACTTCCTAGAGTAGAAGGAAAGAGACCAAAATGAACTCTTAAATAGCTGTACAGCCCAGTTAAATAGCTGTACAGCCCAGTGTAAAAGAAGAAACAAAAGACTTCAAAAAATTGTAAACCACGTCAGATTCCAAGGAAGCAGAGAAAAAACTAACATATGAGGCAAAATAGCCCTATTTTCCTGAGTGAAATAGGAAAGACTGAGCAAAACTGTAAAATGTCTATGTATTTAAGTCTGGAAAATGTCACAGTACACGGAACTGTTTCTTGTACTGTACATCCTAAGTGTGAAAATGACACACTACACAGTACTGCATCTTGTACTGTACATCCTAAGTGTACACAGTACTGCTTCTTGTACTGTACATCCTAAGCGTGAAAATATCATAGTACACAGTATTGCATCTTGTACTGTACATCCTAAGTGTGAAAATGTCACACAACACAGTACTGCATCTTGTACTGTACATCCTAAGTGTGAAAATGTCACACTACAGAGTACTACTTCTTGTACTGAACTTCCTAAGTGTGAAAATATCACAGCACACAGTACTGCATCTTGTACTGTACATCCTAAGTGTGAAAATATCACACTACACAGTACTGCATCTTGTACTGTACATCCTAAGTGTGAAAATGGCACAGTACACAGTACTGCTTCTTGTACTGTACATCCTAAGTGTGAAAATCTCACAGTACACAGTACGGCTTCTTGTACTGTACATCCTAAGTGTGAAAATGTCACAGTACACAGTACTGCTTCTTGTACTGTACATCCTAAGTGTGAAAAGAAAGACTAATGAAGATAGTAAGAGTCCTCTACACCATATTGTAAAACAGGATCTTTCACCATGGCAACGCTAAACAATATGGGTCATGACCCCTTGGGATTTCTCAAATAAATCCTTTGAAAAGAAACATTTTGTAAAGGTCACTGATGAATTTTCTGAAAAATAATTTCTGTACATTAATTTAACATCAACATAAAAAGAAGAAAGAGGAGGAGGTGACAGTGGTAAATAATGGTCATAGGCAGAGAGAAAGAAGAATAGAAGACGGGTGGAAAAGAACAAAGAGGAATAAGAAAAGAAAGAGAAAGAAGTGAATGAAAAGGAAGAAGAGAAGGAACTGGACAAGAAGAAGAAAGAGAGGAATTGTGAAGAAGTCTGAAAGAAGAAGGAGCCAAGAATAAAACAAAGAAGACAAATAAAATAAGAAATCTTGGGTAAGTATCGTGCTAACCCATTCTTATTTGTAGCTTAAGCTGCTATGCACTGCCAACTTCCCTAACACTGTAAACTTTCCTTTGTTTCTCTTTTGCAGTTGGGAAATTTAAAACACAGGTTATCAACTCCTGTAGAACAGCGATCAAAACCAACAATACATCCTCTCTGTTTAAAATCATCCAGACAGGACTAGCTTGAGGAATTGATTGATGTCAATGTGTAGTGTATTTAAATTCGCTTTTCTCTGTTAGACAGGATTGTGCATGATTTCCTGTCATCTTCGTCGAGTGTCTTTTCTGTTCCACCAGCCGTGCAACTGTCCATGTGACAGCTGCTGTCTCCATCTTCATACTAGAATTAGTTGAATTGAATGCCTGCTCTTCTTCTTTTACTGTCTTCCCATTGACCTGTACTGAGTGTGCCCAACCAGACAAGACCCCACGAATCACACTGTCTGTATAGATGATGTATGTATAGATAGTCTCTGTATAGATGATGATGTATGCATAGATGATGATATATGCATAGATGATGATGTCTGTATAGATGATGATAATGTCTGTATATATGATGACAATGTTTGTATAGATGATGATGATTCTGAATAGATGATGATTATGTCTGAATAGAAAATAATGATGTATGTATAGATAATGATGATATCTGTATAGATGATGATTATGTCTGTATAGATGATGATGTCTGTATAGATGACAATGTTTGTATAAATGATGATAAGATAAGAAATGATGTCACCTGATTGAGTGTTCTTGAGAATAATGTGCTGGTAGTGACAGACTCAATGATCAAGTTTAGGAAGATCCAAGCTGGCAAACTGTGACTAGAATGAACTGATAGCATTCAGAACTGGTGCTTAAAAAATATCTTGGCTGTACACAACAGGGCATGCCGGAGTGAAAGGAAATGAAAGAGCTGACAGACTGGCCATGTCTGCAGCGTTTAGTAAAAGAAAAAGTATAAACAGGGCAGACATGTTGAATGTGCTGCATTCCAGAGACGTTGAGACAAATGAGTCTGAGATATTGAACCACGTGTTAGAAATATGTATTAAATGAGATCAAGCGTGCAGGAACCAGCTCTGGGGTAACAGAAGATGCTAATTGTAGTCAAATTCTGCTTGGCACGGTGAGCATTGAGACACTGAGATGACCACGGGATCACAAAAGTTATTTGGACCAGTGTGCTAAGTTGTTGATACAGACAAAAAGTAACAGGTAACATGTGTCCTACCTGACTGATGAAGGATTGTTTGTCCACAGATTTTGGTCCTCATTTCTTTGTCTTGAGTATTTTAGATCAATTAGGATGATATTCCTCCATGCCACAGTTTTAGACCACCCAGTAAAATTTCCACTGGTCAGCCAGTGATCTGTCCAGTCATCACCATATTCTCCATTGCCTCTCCTCTCATCCCATGACCAGAAAATCCTGTATCTTTCTTAAGTTGTATATAAGCTTCTCAATCAGTAAGAATGTCCTTTGCAGAACAGTACTCTCTTTACGGCATGCATCAGAGTATCTCTTTCCCTAGACAATTGTTCCTGCCTTGTGTGCTTTCATAGCCAATGCGTATTCAGTCTTCTGTATTCACCTTTTGAGGAGACCAGTCTCTGTCTCATTTTCCAGAAACTGTCCCCTTTATCACTGTTCTTTCCAAACCACCATGAAGTTGAATATGTCCAAAATACTTTAGCTTTCATGTTCTGTCACAACAGACCACCTGCCATTTTCATAATATTCAGTTTGTAACATAAACGACATTAGGCACAACACGGTCTAAATTATTTGTAGCATTCATACCTCTAATTTTGAAGCATCGCAGGTCGACCCAGCCTAAAATGGGTACCACCGGGATGGCTGTCCTGGGGAAGTAAAGACGGCCGGCGTAATGCTGACCACATTACCCACCTAGTGCCGATTGGTCTGTAAAAATATGGGATGCTCTTCCCAAATGCCTGATGCGCCTAAGGCGTGAAAAGATATTTTTACTTTTTATGTGTCTAATTTGCAAGTTCACATTCCAAGAATGCGGGGGGGGGGGGGGGGGGGGGGAAATAATAGACCACTACAACCCAGCAAGCATGTTGTAAAAGGTTACTAATTAGGAATGTAACCCTACACAGATGAAATGCATCAGCTTGTGAGCTGAGGAATCAGCAGGTGTCGTTCCCACAGTTTGCCTGATAGTGTCATTATTTCACGCGATCTCAGATGGTTAGGTTCCCCTGTGTGGGTTCCGGGGCCCATTGTAATAGACCACTACAACCCCAAAAGCATGTCGTAAAAGTCGACTAATTGGGGAGCTTCTTTGAAGTCGGTGAAGTGCATCTGCCGGAGAGGCAAGGAACCAACAGTCTGTATTCAGAGAATGAGATCTGTAAAACTGATGCACACGCAACACTCAGGTCTGTTCCCAGTTCAGTAGTGGACGATCAATAGTACTTTCCGCCAGATGTACATTGAACGCGAATCTCGGGTGGTTAGGTTGGCTGCTTGTCTAAGGCACCTCATCTCGAAGGTGGTGATTTTGCTTTTATGGGCTTTAGATAGTGTTCTCTAACAAGACCAAATCCGGGTGGAAAAAGAAGATACATGCATCTGTGCTTAATTCCGTCCATTTATTAGAATGTGTATTTATGATAAAATTGTATACTTTCCCTATGTAATATTACACTCAGTTTATGCTTGATAAATCACTGTGTTTGAAAATAAAATGTGATGCTAACTGCTAAAATTTATAGTTTCCAAATTGTTTTTTTTTTTAAATTATGTGATTGAGCCAGTTACTTCAAGTCTCTAGTATTATTAGCTGATAAAGACTGTGGTTTAAATATTAATTTGTGCATTTTTATGTGCTTTTTCTCCATTTAGCTTTCTAACTATAGTTTATGTCATGTTTAGTAACTTCTTAATGTTTACTGATAGAAAGTGAACAAAACAGAATACTTAACAATCATGTCATAAGAGGCTTTCAATAAGTAAAAGACCTTTTTTATGCCAGTGTCACATCAGACATACTATGCCAGACTGCTAGAGTCATATTTGTATAGACCAAGCAGCCTTTAATGGCTGATGTAGTCAGCATCTACCAGTCACCTTTACCTCCCAGGACATTTCCTGTTACCCATTTAAGGCTCATTCAATCTGTAGCCAAGGTGATTTTCGAACAAAAAAATTTATCTGTCTTGATGCAAATTCGAACCTACTGCCTTCAGCTGGCAGGCCACCACACTGTTGCAGCATCCTATTTTTTAAAATCAAAGCAATGTTTCCCTTTTGTAAATCTGGACAAAGAAGACACAAACAATAGATTGCACAGCTTATTGCCTGGCAAATTCTATTATATCTGGTCATGGGCATGGAACTTTGGTGCAAGCCAGACTTTTAATAGAAGGCAAAAGTTTTGTCTTGTTGTGTTCTATTTGGGAAAGTCTTGGAGAAAATGAAAGAGAGCCATCTGCCAGTTATCTCATACACAGACACACGAAACTGAAACAAAAGTGCACTTGATTAATCACATGAAATGATATATTGACATCAGTAACTGCATCATGCAAGTTTTCAGTACACTCCCAGTAACTTTATTTTTTTTTTTTTTTAAATAAATAAAAAGTTCAACACAGTGCCAAAATATAAAACACTGATGCAAACTTTCTAAAGTGTAACAAAGAATCCACACACACAATATATATATATATATATATACAGCATATTCATACCAACACTGTGGTCATACTAGTACTAGAGTTGGATATTTTTAAATGCCAACCTGTGTCAAATTAACACAGCAAAATGAGATGCCTGAAAAAAGCCGCCAACTTAATAACCATCCGGGACAAAGATAGAAATGAAATTATCAGGCAGACTGTGGGAACAATACCATGCAGCAAATTCTTTGAGAAACAGAAGATTGAATGGTTTGGTCATTTAGTAAGAATGCAGCCAGAACAACTACCAATGCAGGCGCTACACATAAAAATATCTGAAGTGAAAGGAAGAGGCTGCCCCATGCGAACATGGACCGATGACATTAAAGAGCTTCTACATCGACACGGAATGACAATAGCCGTTGCTGCCCATCCAGCAATGGATCGCAAACTTTTCCTCCTCACAACACTTAACGGCAGAAGTGGAGATGGGCGATGATGATGATGAACGTGGTACCAAAAATACAGTTTGGTTAGCAAGAGTCAAATAGTAACTCATTTTTTTTTCTCCTTGAAAGTACCAACTTCATCAGCCCTGCACACAACCCAGCTATGAGAAACATCTAACAGTTTGCTAGCTTAGTGGACGCTTTGTACAATCCTCGATATACCTCGATATACCAGGTTTCTTTTTCTGCGGCCAGTGGATGAAAAGACAGATCGTTCTGGTGGCTTCCATACTGTGGTAAGAGAGTTGCACCGTGGAAGAGATTGTGACCACTAATGTTCACAGACACGTGGATACAGATACCAGTATAGCGGTGACGATACAACATACAGTATGTATGTGTGGGGTGCGTGTAGGCAGGCAAGGGTTATTTGAAGTAATGGACCTTTACCCCCGTCCTTCAGGCGTATTAGGCATATAGGGCTAGACCTTTATTTTTTAGACCAATCGGCACTTGGTAGGTAAAGTGGGCTAATTTCTCACCGGCCGCCTTTACTTCGCATGACTGTACCTGGGCACCATTTAAGGCGTTCAATTCCAGGGGACTCGCAGCAAATGCCCAGGGAATGGATAACCTCTATAACAAGTCAGAAATGCATATCATTGAAACAGATACGTCATGCTCTGTAAGTAGCCAGTATGGACGCCATATTTCTTTACTGTGGTGTGACCAACAATAAAATAGGGGTGAACATATTATGTGATGGCTGCGATTTATGTGGACAAGTCTATTACCTCTTTGAGCCCCAGAGGGTTTAGCATCACATACCCAAGAGAGACATAAAATAGGCGCATCATTGGGCTAGGAATCTATGTACGTTTGATGCGTTGTTCCTTATGGGCTCAAAGAGTTACGCATCACGCGTTGTATGGGATCGAAAGAGTTAAAGCTGGCAGCCAAGGTCATTTCGTTTAAAGTCTGGCTTCATCAGGACCTGAACCCACAACCTTCGAAACGGCAGGCGAGCGTCTAGCAAGTACATCACGCTGGTTCCCAGGAACTGATTTCACTCTGGTAGGTA